CCAAGTTTGGTCGAATGGGATTAATGTCGTTAAATAAACTTACATTAAAGCCCGAAGCTCGGCAGCCATGACGACATTTCATACAAAAAACAAACTTGCGGCTGTTTAAGGTTGAGTGACCTTCTGTAATGTTGACTCGAGACAACCTCTTCCCCCCACCCCAACCCCCCCCCCCACACAAACACACACACACACACACACACGCACACTGTATAATATTCACTGTTAACCCCTCACTGACATTCCCTTTAAGAGCCGCTCAGTTTTTGTCTCCTCGTCTTACACTTTTCGCCCACAAAATACACAGTCACTACACTTTGCAGTAATATCCTGCGAAGCGCTTTGAGACGTCTCAACGCTATGATAAGGCGCTATAATCAAAGGAAAGGGTTATTGTATATTTTTCTCATTTAGAAATCATTCCCATTTGGTTATGAAATATTAATATTTCTCCCCTCCTCCCCCCCCACCCCATTAAAGACGGATAAGGCTCTGCATTCTACCCCCCCCACACCCACCCACCACCACACTTTAACATACGTCCACACGAGATCCAGGCTCTCGGGGGAGGAGGGGGGGGGACACAAAATAATTCTTAAAGGGTATGTACCTGTCACGTTGGCTCACAAGTAGTCACTACAGCAACTTCCGTGGGACACTATTAAAAGGCCAGGATTATGGCTGTGTAAATAGTAAATATTTGCTATTGTTATTCGTGTTGTGTCCACCCACAAAAATACACACAGTCACTACAGTTCACAGTAGATCCCGTGAAGCACTTTTGAGACGTTTTTTTTTTCCCCTGACACGAAAGGCGCTGCGACGATGCTATTGATGGTTATTGTAATGGTGGTTGTATGGTGTGTGATTCCTGATGAGGAATGTGGGGGGGAGTGCGGAGGTGGGTGTCACAGGGTGTGGATTTGAGTGCAGTAACTGGAGTAATTTTGTGTGTGTGTGTGTGTCTCTCTCTCTCACACACACACACACACACACACACTCTCTGTCTCACACTCTCTCACTCTCTCACACACTCTCTCACTCTGTCTCATGCTCGCTGTCGCTCTCACACTCACTGTCTCACTCTCTCACACTCTCACAAGCACGCACAGAACTCTCTCCCTCTCACACACTCTCAAGTTCTCTCTCTCTCTCTCTCTCACTCCCTCACTCTCTCACACACTCTCACTCTCTGACTCGCTCTCACTCACACACTTAACTGTCCCACTCTCTCACACTCTCACACGCGCACACAGAACTCTCTCCCTTTCTCACACACTCTCAAACTCTCTCTCACACTCTCTCTCTCTCTCTCACTCACTCACTCTCACACATTCTCTCACTCCTCTCTCTCACACACTCTCTCCCTCTCTCACCCTCGCTCTCTCTCTCTCTCTCTACCCACAGGAATGCCTCCAGCAGTTGGTGGTGATGACATTGCCAAACATCCTGCTGATCGCTAAGGACCCGCTCTCAGGTGAGGGACGTCCTGTGTCAGCGAGGGGAGGGGGTGGATGGGGGGTGGGTTGTGGGGGATACTTGTGGAGCCTTTGACGAGGTGGTGGGGGGGGTGGGTTCCTGTTGGTACTGAGCCAGGCTGAGATGTTCCTTGCCTCCCTCGCCTCCTCTCGAGACCCTCCTCTTCGACCGCGCCTTCGGTCACCCTCCTACCCCCACCCACCACCCTGCCTGCCCTGCATCCCTCCTGATCTCGACCCCCGGCTGGGGTCCAAGCCCTGACTGGCCGATGTGCGGTGGTTGATGGAGGGAGTCACTGAAGTTACTTAATTGAATGCATTATCCTCCCTCCGCCTCTCAATTAATGTCAATTAATTAGTTAGTGAGTTAAGTAATTCAAGCGATCTCTCCTGTCGTGTAAACCTTGGGCTCCTCTGCACCCCTCACCGCCCGCCCCGCCCCTCGCCGCCCGCCCCGCCCCTCACCCCTCGCCGCCTGCACCTCCCCTCACCCCTCGCCGCCCGCCCCGCCCCTCACCCCTCGCCGCCCGCCCCACCCCCCGCCCCTCGCCGCCCGTCCCGCCCCTCGCCGCCCGTCCTGCCCCTCGCTGCCAGCCCCGCCCCTCGCCGCCAGCCCCACCCATCGCTGCCAGCCCCGCCCCTCGCTGCCAGCCCCGCCCCTCCCTGCTAACCTCGCCCTTGCCATTAGCCCCTCCCACTAGCCACTAGCCCTGCCCCTCCCTGCTCGCCCCGCCCCTTGCCCCTAGCCCTGCCCCTCACTGCAGCCCCGCCCCTCGCTGCTAGCTCCACCCCTCGTCGCTTGCCCCGCCCCTCGCTGCTCGCCCCGCCCCTCGCTGCTCGCCCCGCCCCTCGCTGCTTCGTTGAGTCAGTTCTGTGTCTCTCGTGCCTAAGGGTTTTTTAAAATCATCTTTCTGTTCAAACCCGTGTTGCTTTCACTGCTTCTCCCACTCTCTCTCTCTCTGTCTCTCCCTCTCCTGTTTGCTCACACTCTGTGCTCAGTCCGGCTCATGTCTCGTGCTCCCTCCTCCAGTTCAGTTGTCTCTGCTCCTCACTGCAGCTAATGTATGTGCTGCCCAGCGTCACCCCTCAACCCCCCCCCACCCCACCCCCATCCCCATCCCAACAGCTCAATGTCCGCGTTTCACCTTGTCTGCGTCAGCCATGATCTTATAGAATGGCGGAACAGGCTTGCGGGGCTGAATGGCCTCATCCTGTTCTCCTATGTTCCTGCGTCTCTGGACCTGCAAATGTGCAATCGTCTCGTCCTGTGGAGACCAACTCCTGTGCTTCTCCCCACTGCCTGTGTGTGTGCACCTGCCCCGGGGCGGACTGGCTGTGTGGTAATTGGGGACCCCCCCTCCCACCACCCCATCCAACGGGGCTTGATCCCCCCCCCCCCATTTTACCGGGCAATCCTGACCCCTTTTTGGGGAGCCAGTCCGTCACTGTAGATGCCTGCGCCTTTGCGTGTGCTTGTTTTTCTGCCTGTGTTTGTGTGTGTGTGTACCTGCCTGTGTGTGCGCGCGTGTGTGCGTGTGTCTGTTTGCACAGAGGCTGAACTGGGTACCACCGGATCGTGTGTATGTATATACCTGTTATAATCAGAGAGATAATTGCACATCTAATCAGTGCAACAATTATTAGCTCTATATAAATATATTATTATTAGCTCTATGTGAACATGTATTATTATTAGGCTCTATGTTTAAGAGTTGCGGTATTCCGGCGCTGTCACATTCCCGGGGATTAAATAGATTGCTGGCTATTTGCTGCAATAGTTAGAGAAACATCCCTCAAGGCAACACCCTCGACTGCAGGGAGTGGGGCCGGGAGATAAATTTGCCGGTCTGCGTGGCTATAGCGGTGTTGTAACAGCAGGTGGCGCTCCAGGCTGGTAGTTTCACTCCCGACGGGAAAAGGCAGGGAAGTGGGATTAGGATTGGGATTGGAATGGCCTCATTGGAAGAGCAAACACCAACGTGGCTCCTGCCGCGGGGCAGCCCTGTGCCACGTGTCGCTCTCTCTCTCTCTCTCTCTCTTTGGCCATAACCCCCAGAGTAACTCAGCAACCAACGCATGACATCCGCACAGCGTCTTCCATGTCGGGAGGACGTCCCAGGGCGCTGGACAGTCAGGGACCCACACCCGCGCTGGGGGGTTGGGATCAGGAGGGAGTGGGGGGGGGGGGCGGGGAGGGTTGGGGAGCAGGAGGGTGACCGAAGGCGCGGTTGAAGAGACAGGTCTTGAAGGAGGCAGAGGGAGGGAGGGAGGGAGGCGGAGGGACTTTACAGTATATCCTGTTGAGGCGCTGTATCAAATACAAGGATTATTATTATTATAAACGGACTGTGACATGAGATGATCCATTAAACCCAGAGAGCGAGAGCGCGCGAGAGAGCGCAGGGAACCAAACGAGCAACGCCCCAAACCCAGTTCAGCGCCTGATGCTATGGCTTACGTTCCTCCGCTGGAGCTGAGCTGAGCTGATCTGCCTCCGTGGCTCGTCTCAGCGCGGGCACAGTTAACCCTTTCCCTCCCGCCCACCGCAGCCCCCGCCGCCGCCGCCATCACCAGCGACAGCCGTAGGAAGGGGAGGCTCTCCGGGCCCCTGGAGACCGAGGGCCCAGCGGAGCAGAAGGAGGCTCAGCGACGCAGAGCCGAGTTGGGGTCCTTGGCCTACTCCACCTCCGCCATCCACCTCAGCTCGTCCAGCTCCGCACCCTCCTTCAGCTGCAGGCCCTGCGCCCGGCCTAAAGGTAGGCCTCGCCGTCACCAGGCAGGAGCGTCTCAGAGCGCTTCACGGATCATATTGGGAAGCGTAGTGACTGTGTATTTTGTGGGTGAAACGCAGCAGAATCGAACCCGGGTCCTTGGTTTGCATTCAGTTGCTGAGGCTTCAGATGGTGACGCTCCTCTGGCTGTTCGGCCCATCATATTGAGTCCTGTAGCTCAGCGATCAGAGCCCTCGCCTCGCAAACTCGAGGACCCGGGTTCGATTCCCGGGCGGGGGGGGCAAACCTTAGGCGGGTTTCCTTACTCCACACGCCTCTGTTTATCCAGCAGTAAGTTGGAATCCGGTTGTTAGTCGATTGGTGGGATCGCTTTTCTGGGGGTAATAATCCCTCCAAAAAAAATTTAAATTGCGGTCACTCAATCCACGCTGTCGTGCGCAATTGGCTGCCGCGTTTCGCCCACAAAATACACAGTCATAACACTTCACAGTATATTCTGCGATGCGCTTGGAGACGTCTCAACGACGTGGTAAGGCTGCGTATCAAATGCAAGGATTATTATTATTGTTATAACTCTTTTCAAAAGTTTTACCATACAATACAAAATTCGATTTGCACATCTTTCACGTCGGGAGGACGTCCCAAGGCGCTGGACAGTCAGGGATAACAACGATATAGCGGCAGAGCGGCTATGACGACTGATGTGGGTGGGGAGAGGGGGTGAGGAGTGGGGAATGAGCAGTGGAGTGCGTGAGGTTCTCGCTGACTGGTGTCCTGTGTGTGTGATTTTTGTCTCCTGTGAATTACCAGGTTGTACGTCCGACAACGATCTCCGACCCCATTCCCTGGAAATAGAGTTTTCCAGCTGTGGGAGAAGAAGCCCTGGTGAGTCCCTGTTGCGCCCTCAACAACAACAACAACAACAACAAACGGCATTTACACGGCGCCTTTCGTGTCGGGAGGACGTCCCAAGGCGCGGGGCAAGGAGGGTTTGCACCCGAGCTGGGGTTGGGATCAGGAGGGGGTGGAGGGCGGGGAGGGTGGGTTGAGTAGGGGCGGTTGAAGACCTTAAGACGGGCCTTGGAAGAGGCGAAGCTGGGGGAGCGAGTGGGAAGGATTGAGGAAGAGAGTTGCAGAGTGAAGACACGGCCATCGATGGTGGGGGGGTGCACACAAGGCCCGAGGTCCACACTCTTCCACTTTGCACTCGGACCCGGGAAAGGTTCAGGCAAAGAGCAAACATTATCGCCCTCACCCCCACTCTCTCCGAAGTGCGCCTGCGTTTGGGGGGCACTGGTTGTATCACACTATCGCAGTCCCTCGCTGTGCAACTGGGCAGCAATGGACGTCTTGTTCCTAACGATGTCTGTTCTCTCTCCGCCGCTCGTTTTCTCTCTCTCCCTCATCCCCCTCCTCTCGTTCTCTCCTCCTCTCCTTCTCTCCCTTTTCTCTCCTCCTCTCTCTCTCACACAGCCTCGAGACTCTGTGAGAAGAGCCGGTGTAGTTCCAGCGACGCCTCGTCTCCTCTTAGCTCCAAAGGTGAGGTTTGTGTCATGTCATTCCCCACGTTTCCCTTTGGCCGTGGGCGGGGCTGTGGCCGTGGGCGGGGCAGTAATGTGGGTGGGGCTGTGGTTGTGGGTGGGGCTTTGGCTATGGGTGCGGCAGTGATTGTGGGCCGGACTGGCTGTGGGCGGGGCAGTGATTGTGGGTGGGACTGTGGCTGTGGGCGGGGCAGTGATGGTGGGTGGGGCTGTGGCTGTGGGCGGGGCAGTGATTGTGGGTGGGGCAGCGGTTGTGGGCGGGGCTGTGATTGTGGGTGGGGCAGTGATTGAGGGCGGGTCTGTGGGTGGGGCCGTGATTGCGGGCGGGTCTGTGGGTGGGGCCGTGATTTCGGGCGGGGCCGTGGGTTGGGATTGCGGGCGGGGCCGTGATTGCGGGCGGGTCAGGAAGGGACTCACATCAGCTTCCGGCACTGGGTGCACTTCACGTGGAGCCCTGTAGCTCAGCAGTCAGAGCCCTCGCCCGGCGAGCGAGAGGACCCGGGTTCGATTCCCGGGCGGGGGGGGGTGCGAAACCTCAACAACAATTCGGTCACTCGACCCGCGACTGTTTGTGGGGTGGGGGGACGCTCCCGGGCGCAATTGGCTGCCGCGTTTCGCCCGCAAACTATACATACAGTCACTACACTTTACAGTCTGTTCCGTGGAGCGCTTTTGAGACGTCTCGAAATATAATAAGGCGCCGTATCAACCGCAGGGATTATTGTATCAGCGTTAATATTATTTTTTGGGGGGCGATGATTGCACCTCGAGCTCTTGATGTTTGACCCCCCCCACCCGATCCAACAGGTTTGGTTGCCAGGCGCCAGGAGGGCGTGAGCGGCGATGACCTGGTGCCCACGCGGGACGTGCCAACCTCCCCCAGAGACGTCCTCGGCTCCGGGCTCCTCACCCCCGGCAAACCGGAGCCTCCGTCCATGCGCCGGAGCCCGGTGTCCCACAGCACACCCCAGAGGGGCCGAGCCAGGACCGGCTCACCGGGCAGCGAGATGGTCACCCTGCAGGAGTTCCTACAGGAGAGCAGTAACCTCTCACCCATCAGTGCCAACGTAAGTCACTCAGCCTCTCACTTACTGTCTCACTCACTCACTCACTCACTCACTCTCTCACTCACCCTCTCACTTACTGTCTCACTCACTCACTCTCTCACTTACTGTCTCACTCACTCTCTCACTCTCTCACTCACCCTCTCACTTACTGTCTCACTCACTCACTCACTCTCACTTACTGTCTCACTCACTCACTCACTCACTCTCTCACTTACTGTCTCACTCACTCTCTCACTCACTTACTCACCCTCTCACTTACTGTCTCACTCACTCACTCTCTCACTCACTCACCCTCTCACTTACTGTCTCACTCACTCACTCTCTCACTCACCCTCTCACTTACTGTCTCACTCACTCACTCACTCTCTCACTCACCCTCTCACTTACTGTCTCACTCACTCTCACTCACTCACCCTCTCACTTACTGTCTCACTCACCCTCTCACTTAGTGTCTCACTCACTCACCCTCTCACTTACTGTCTCACTCACTCTCTCACTTACTGTCTCACTCACTCTCTCACTTACTGTCTCACTCACTCACTCTCTCACCCACCCTCTCACTTACTGTCTCACTCTCTCACTCACCCTCTCACTTACTGTCTCACTCCTCACTCACCCTCTCACTTACTGTCTCACTCACTATCTCACTCACCCTCTCACTTACTTCTCACTCACTCACTCTCTCTCTCACCCTCTCACTTACTGTCTCACTCACTCTCTCACTCACCCTCTCACTTACTGTCTCACTCACTCTCTCACTCACCCTCTCACTCACTCACTCACTCCCATCCATCCACCCACTCTCTCACTTTCTCACTCACTCACCCACTCAACTCACTCCACCCACGGCTGTTTGTGGGGACGCTGCTGTGCACAATTGGCTTCCGGGTTTCACCCACAGTCACACAGTCACTCCGCTTTACAGTATATCCTGTGGAGGGCTTTGAGACGTCTCAATAACGTGATATTATTATTAGAACTTGCACTTATATATCGCCCTCCACGCAGAGTGACATCTCAGAGTGGATCAGAGTGTGAGTGTGTGTGTGGGGGTGTGTGTGAGTGTGTGTGGGGGGTGTGGGTGAGTGTGTGTGTGAGTCTGTGTGTGGGGGTGAGTGTGTGGGGGTGTGAGTGTGTGTGTGAGCGTGTGTGGGTGTGTGCGAGTGGGGTGTGTGCAGTGTGGGTGGGGGTGTGTGTGAGTGTGTGTGGGTGTGAGTGAGTGAGCCCCATCATTTTCATGGTAGATAATGACCTGTCGCCATGTTCGTGTGTCACATTTTCCATGTGGGGAGTCGGATCCGGCGGTGTCTATGGAGAGAGGAAAGTGGGTTAACGTTTCCAGTCGATGATCTTTTCTCAGAGCTGTGATGTGTAGTGACTGTGTATTATGTGGTGGGGGGGGGGCGACTGGTGTGCTTTCCTGTATAGTTCAGGTGCAAACCCTTCACCGTCCAGTGCTTCGGGACGTCCTGGCGACGTGAGAGCCGCTGGCTAGTTTGTTGTTGAATGTTGTTGTTGTTGTTGTTGGAATGTTGTTGTTGTTGTTGTTGCAGGTCGTGGGCCGGGAAGATTTACTGAGCGATTACTTCACCAAGGTGTCTGAGCCCCCCGCGATGGCCGAGCCGCCGGCCGGCAGGCGGGAGAGCGCACGGACCCCAACACCGACCGTCTACGTCTCCCCCAACGTGAAGTCTCCGCACGGCCCCGGGGAGGGGAGGGGAGTGGGGGGCAAACCGGGGCAGTCGGTGAAGCCGAGCCCCCGCCCGGCCACGCTCCCGGCCCCGGCTCGCTCCAGCTCAGTCTCGTGCCTCCGCTCGCCCCCGGCGCAGCCCCCCTGCCCCCCGAGGGGCTGCTCGCTGGGCCGGGCGGTCAGCCTGGCGGCCGCAGACCTCCCCAGGCACGGCGCCGCCGATGCTCACAGGCAGGAGGCGCTGTCGCCGAGCGCTCAGGGCAAAGGCCGGCTGTCGCCGCGAGAGAGACCCCAATCCGCCCGACTACCCGGCTCCGACCCCAGCTGCCGAGCCGTGGACCCTCGCCGTCTGTCGCTCGCTCCCCCCAAGGACGAGAAGCCCCTCTCTCTCCCCCAGCACTGCGGCAGCGCAGGCGCCCTCTCTCCCGGATACCCCGGCCCCCAAACCGACAGGTCGCCGGCCGACAGGAGAGCGGCCCAGCCGAAAGGCGCCCCCGGTGGTGGTGGTGGTGGTGGTGGGGAGACGGCGCTGGTCAGGCCCCTGTCCCGCCAGGGTGAGGAGCCGAGGGGCCGGGGGCCAGCGGAGTCTGCAGTGGGGGGCGGAGGAGAGACCCCCGGAGCGGAGGAAAATGGCAAAGGACACGATGGCGCTTTGAAGAGCTCCCCAGGGGCCGCGGACCCCAATGCGGACCCCCAGACTGTGTGGTACGAGTACGGTTGCGTGTGAGCGGCTCAGAGACCCCCTCCCCCACCCGCCCCATAACCCCTCTGGGGGTCTGGGTGGTTATCTACTGTTTCCCCGCTATGTCTGTCCAGGGCTGTGTGTGACCAGCGCCCAGTGAGAGGCAGTGAGTGGGGGGAGTGTTGCCTCTCTCCAACTTCCCCCCCCCCCCCCGCCTCACCACCCCCCCGGATGTGCTCCTCAGTCCATCACTCAAGTGACTGTTTTGTGAAGATACAATGATGTGGGGGGGAGAATGGGGAGGGGCCTCCTTCACCACAACCCTTGTGTTTTTTGGGTGGGGGGGGCGGGAGGGGCGAGGGGGAGAGCTCAGGGATCTCCGAGTCGGTGAAGTGTGAGCACGGTGCGTGCGGCTACGTGGCGTGTGCAGGAGGTTCTGCGGCGTGAGGATGCATCGTGTGTACGTTGGCGCACGTACGTGTGTGTACGTGTATGGGTCTGCAGTGTGCATGTGTGGGTGAGGCTTCGTGTGCGTGTGCAGGAGTGTGCGCGCTGTGTACGTGCGGCCACGTGCCGGTTGTGCGCGGGCGGGGATTTTAATGGTCCCGTATTAATTGTGTAAATATTCCGAATGTAAATTGAAGGGAATCCACAGAGGATCGGGACGGGAGTTTACATTTCCTGTCAGAGAACCGGAAGATTATTTTTGTACCAGTTTGTAGAGATGATAAACAGCTGGTTTCGGGGGGAGTCTCTGGTCCAACCCCCACCCATCCCCCTTGCCCCCTCTCCCTCTCTCCCCCCCCCCGGAACAGACACAGTGTACAGGTGGGAAACTAAATCATTCTATGTCTCTGTGGAGACCATTTTAGACGGAATCTGTCCTTGTAATTAATTCTCTGCGTTTTCTGTGTCCATATCGATCTTATTTCATGTTTTATATTTAACGTGTTGCACAAATTTTCCTCTTTCTTTGGGGAAGAACCTTTCGACTACTGACAAGATGGCCGCCAGGGGAGCGGCCATTTTGTTTTCTACCGACCAAATTTGGGATTAAATTGGGAACACTGGAATCTTTTATCAGAGCCAATTTGGCCTGAGCGCGAGTGCCTGCGTCTGCGTGCGAATGCGTGTTAATGTATATGGAAGTATGTGTGGTGTTCATGTATACATGTGCGCGCATGCATGTTTGTACCTGTGCGCGTGCGTGTGTGTGTGTGTGTGTGTGTGTGTGCGCACATGTAAGTCGGTCTTCACATATTTGCACTGTACACCCATGGGGGGTGTATCTGTGGCTGTGCGCATTTTCTGAGAAAATGAAGTGCAATTGGAGGCCGGTGGGGAGGGGGTGTAGTGGGACGTGGTGCGGAGTTAATGTTCTTCCCAAACTGACAGAGATAAAGAAGGTAATAATCTTGATACGAGGAACAAAAAGACTGTGTTACTTTGTTGTATATCTCTGTTGTCAATAAGAGGGAGAGACGAAAACGAAGCCAATAATTATGTTGATGATGTGGAAATACTAATTAAATTCTCACCTTTTGAAGAATCTACTTTATTTTCCATTTCTTTCCAACTTTTATTTCTTTCTAATAGTTCCAAGAAACTCATCTTGCCACTCAACTAAATAATATCATAACAATCTTTGCATATGATGCGGAGCCTTATTAAGTCAAGAGATCTTGATGACTTGATAAGGCGCTGTTGTAAATGCGAGGCTTTTCGGGCGCCCCATGAAAGCCCCACAGGAAAGCGTCTCAGAACAAGTGTAGTGACTCTGTTTCGGCCTCAAAATGTGCAAGGATTATGATTATTATTTATCGGTGAGGGAAGTACTATACTCCAGGGGTGGAGGGGGCTGAAATGCTTGTGCTGTGCTGAGCCAAACCCCCGTCGCTGCGCACAGCTGCCACGTCAGTAGAAGCAAACTCAAGAGACGTGTGGGTCTGTAGTGAGTCGAAAGATTAGCATCTCTCGATTTTTAATGCGTCTTTGTTTTTAGGCGGTCGGCATTTCCACAATATTGGTTATTTGAATTTGATCTGATCTATGAGGGGCGGAGAGAGAGAGAGATAATCAGAAGTTATCTACATCCTTGATGCAGAAATGACTCGTGATGCTTCAGCAAAAAAAAACCCTCCCAAACTACCACAAAATAAACATGAAATGTAATGCTTCACCACCATGTTTCCCTCCCCCCCCCCTCCCGCCTCTCGTCTTGAGACCCTCCTCTTCGACCGCACCATCAGTCAACCCTCCCATCCCCGCCCTTCCTGCCCTCCACCCCTCCTGATCCCGAGGGGTCCTAACTATCCAGCTTCGGATGTCCTCGTGATGTGAAAGGCGGTGTAAATGTGTGGTTGTCAGCACTTTGGGATGTCCTCCTGACATGAAAGGCACTACACAAATGTTGTTGATGTTGTTGCCCAAGTCCTTCCTGTTTTTCTAAAATTCTAGTTTACCGCTCATGAGAAATCCTCTCTCTCTCTCTCATCGTCTGTATGTATACTGTTTTCTCCCCCTCCCCCCACAACACACACTCGGTGTGGTGGTGATGGGGGGACAAATGGGGAAGGGGTCCCTCTCTGTAAAATTCCTCTCTGACACCTGAAGGCTCTTGTGTCAATGATCAGTGGGTAATTTGTTATTGGATGGCCTTCATCTTATTTGTCAATCAGAGAATTTCCCCGGGGGGTGGGGTGCGGGGGTGGTAACCCGGGGGTCTCCTCAAGGAGGGGGTGGGGACGGTCAGTCTCTCTTTCTAGACTGGTTCCCGAGCCAGGAGGGTCCGCAGTAACTCCAGGGCACGTCTGGTGACAACACAGCCAGCCCAGCTCATCGTGTGAGAGCTCGTTGGGTGGGTCGGCAGTAATCTTCCCACTCAGCTCCTGTTAACGGCTGTTTACGGGGGACGTTGCTGGACGCGAATTCGCTGGCGCGTTCGTCCATAAATGACAGTCACCGACTGTCATTTACAATGAAATCGAGACTGTCCTCCCGATGTGAAAGGCCCTGGGGAAAATGCGAGGATTATTTTATTTTACAGCTACATAGAGGTAAATAGTTGAGTGTGTGGGCGGGCGTTGATGTTGCCTTGTTAATTAGACCGGTTAGTTAGATGTTTATATCAGGTTTGATGTGTGATGTGGAAACCTGGTGCTGAACCAGGAATCTCTGTCTGTACAGGTTTAACGTTTTTGAGTAATGTTGTGGAGCTGACACGGAGGTGGAATTAAGTTCAGAAATGAATCTGACACCCGGGGGAGCAATACTTGGAATGAAAGGTTGACTGGAAATCCCTATGACTGGTTTACAGCCACTCACAGCCTCGGCTGATGCTCAAATGCAGGAAAAGAGAAGGAAGTTCCTCTCTCTCCCTCTCTCTCTCTCTCTCGTGTCCTGGTCGACAATCCCTCGAATAAAATTGCTCCCTCGTTTCACCGCTGCTTTGTGGGGGGGAACAAAATTGACACAGGGAGTTGTTACGGTCTGGAACGCACGGCCTGAAAACACATTCAATAAGAACTTTCGAAAGGGAATTGGATAGGGACTTGAAGAAGAAACATTTGAAAGGATTTGGGGAAAGAGCAGGGGAATGGTCTGGCCTCGGGATCCGGGTCTGGCCTCCTCCTTGTCCCCCGAGCCCTCCGCTCCACCCTCGGCGGCCATGCCTTCAGCCACTATGCCTCGAGGCTCTGGAACTGCCTTCCTCACTCCCTTGGTCTCGCTCCCTCCCTTCCCATTTTCAGGTCTCTGCTGAAGACCTTTCTTTTCAACTGCGCCTTTGGTCACCTTCCTCCCCCTCCCCCTGGCTCGGCCTCGGGATCCGTTACCGTAAAGCGCTCTGAGACGCTGTCCAGCGTGGAGGGCGCTGTATAAATCCAAGTTGTTGTTGTTGAGCGCGACTGATTGAGTAGCTCTTCCAAAAAAGCCGGCACAGAAGGCACGATGAGCCAAATGGCCTCTCTCTGTGCTGTAATATTCTATGATCCCAATTAGCCTTTCTGTCCCTTATGAGTTTGGGGGTGCGGGTAAAATTATCGCTTCCCAGTGAAGGTGGGAGGGGGACGGTTGATCAGACAGCGAACGCTCCCACACCCCCCCCCCCCACGCGCAGACCATGCACACTCAGTGTCTGCCGTGACACATGGTAACTCTCTTTGTTGGTTGCGGTTGTTGGTACCTGTTGGGTCTGACTCAGTAATGAGGGATCAGGTCACTGTGATCAGTTGGGAGCTTTCAGTTCAAGCAAAAAAAACAAATTAATTAGCTCCAAACAGGTTTGGAACAAAATTACTGCTTGGATGAAGAATTTTTGGGTTTGCCTCTGTTTATCCAGCAGTATGTAGAAACCTGGTTGTTAAACAATTGACGGATCGCTTTTCCGTGGGTAATAATCCCTCCCCAAGACACATTCATCATAATAAATTGGTCGCTTAATCTGCAACTGTTTGTTCTGTGAAGTGCTTTGAGATGTCTCAACGATGTGATGAGACGATATATCAAATGCAAAGATTATTGTTAAAACAACTGGGGAAATGCAGTGTGACTGCAAACAGCAGCAAATAATAATAATAATCCTTGCATTTGATACAGCGCTTTTCACGTCTTCGAGACGTCTCGAAGCGCTTCACAGGATACATTGTAAAGTGAATTGGCTGTATATTTGTGGGCGAAACGCGGCAGCCAATTGCAAACAGCAGCGTCCCACAAACAGTCGTGGATTGAAGTGACCAAATTATTATAATAATATTGTTTTGTTAGGGGATTATTATCAGGCGGTTATTATTTGGGGTGCTGATGGTGCACATTATTAGGATTGTACATTATTAACCTCCCTGCGTGCCCCCATCTCCATGGGAGTTTCCCCTGTGGGTGTAATTTTTGGAGTCTGTGTTCAGACACAATAAATGCCTTTATAAACACATCCTGTAAGAGTACCCGTCAGTCTAACTGACTGACTGACTAACTGGTTGGGGAGTGGTTTCTATGTGCTGCCCACAAACTTCCGTGAACATTGCCTGTCTCCATTGTAAGACGTTCGTTCACACACATGTACACATCTCACTGTGAGGTTGTCGCAGAACCAAGACGGGATTGAGGCGAGTGTTTGTCTCCCCCACTCCCCGACAATGATCCACACCCAGAGGGGAAACAACAGCAGAAGTTGACTAGGTGATAACTTCTCTGTCGTTCAACTTTACCATCAAAAACCCTTGTTCAACATCGCTTCAACCGTGAAGGAATTTCCTCTCCACTGTCGAGCCTGTGCTCTGTGCGAGGGACTGACGGACCACTGACAAGTAAGTGCTGGGATTTTGGGGGGAGGATAATCAGAGGATAACGTGTTGTTTCATGCACAACGATAATTGTATTCGGTAACATGCTGAGAAATGCGCGGACGTCACAAAGCTCTTTGCAGTAATAGTAACTGTAATGTGAGTCGCGGCTCCTGATGCTAAATAAATGCAATTTGTTCTCAGGGGCAGAGCAAAACCTCAGGCAAGTTTCCTTACTCCGCAGTAAGTAGGAACCCGGCAACCCCTGGCAACATTTTTTTAATGTGGTCACTCAGTCCACGACTGTTTGTCGGACACTCCTGTGCGCAGTTGGCTGCCGCGTTTCGCCCACAAAAGCCATGGTCAATCCAACAACAACATTACATTTGTATAGCGCCTTTCACGTCGGGAGGATGTCCCAAGGACAGTGTACAGCATTTCAGACCTGAGCTGGGGTCAGGGGGGGCGAAGGGAGGGGAAGGGGGGTGACCGATGGCATGGATGAAGAGGAGGGTTTTGAGGCGGGACTTGAAGGAGGCTAAGGAGGGGGTGAGGCGGAGTGATTGGGGGATGGAATTCCAGAGGTTGGGGGCAGAGTGGCTGAAGGCTCTCCCGCCAATGGTGGGGCGGGTGGGTCGGGGGACGTGGAGCAGCCAGAGCCGGCTGAGCGGAGGGAGCGGGCGAGTTGGTAGGGGGTTAGGAGGTCACAGAGGTAGGGTGGGGCGAGGCCATGGAGGGCTTTGTATGTGAGGACCAGAATCTTGAACTGGATCCTCTGAAGGATAGGGAGCCAGTGGAGTTGGGTGAGAATGGGGGTGATAGGGTCATGGAGTTTGGTGCGGGAGAGGACACGGGCTGCAGAGTTCTGGATTATCTGCAGCTGTGGAGGGAGGAGTTGGGAAGGCCGACAAGAGGGCATTTGCATAGTCGAGCCTGGAGGTGATGAAGGTGATGAACAAGAGTTTCAGTGGCCTGAGGGGTGAGGTAGTGACGGAGTCGGGAGATGTTACAGAGGTGAGGGAAGGCAGAGCGGGTCATGGCTTGGATGTGGGGAAGAAGAGTTGAGGGTCGAATAAGGGTTCCTGACTGGCTGGTGAGTTGGTGAGCTGTAGTGTATAACCATGGAGGTTGATGTTGCCAGAGCCTGAGGTGCGGAGGCGCTGCGCGAACCAATCAGGAGGGCCTCAGTCTTGTTCACATTCAACTAGAAAGTTTGCCCTAATCCAGGACTTGATGTCCGATAGTCTGTCAGGACAGCAGTGGTCCTGGAGTTGAGGGTGGAGGCAGAAAGATAGAGTTGGGTGTCATCTGCATACATATGGAAGTTGACCCCACGTCTGCGGGTGATGTAACCAAGGGAGAGCCAGACGTGACAGTGCGGGGGCTGGAGGAGAAACCGTTAGAGGCAACAAAGTGGAGACGGTGAGCGAGATAGGAATCGAACCAGGCAAGGGCAGGTCCGCGAAGATTAAATAAAGAGGAGAGGCGGTGCACGAGGATGGAACGGTCGACACAGCACGTTCTGTGAAACACCAAGAGACGTCTCGAAGACATGATAAAGCGCGCGTTTGGCACATCACCTTTCGGGTCAGAAGGACGTCTCAAAGCCCTCTGCGGGGTTGACAAGTGACCGTGAATTTTGTAAGCAGCCGTGGTAGTCGGTGGCTGTTTGCGGGGACGTCTTTGTGCGCAAATTCTCCGTCGCGCTCCCCCACAAAATTCACAGTGAAACCCTGGGAAGCGCTTTGAGATGTCATCCTGACATGAAAGGCACACCAACAAATGTGGATCCAGTCCACTGCAGCGCTGGGGGGAGCTACAGTCAGAGGTGCCGCCCTTCAGATGAGATGTTAAGCCTCGTTCAGGTGGATGTTAAAGATATCCCGGGGCACCTTTTGAAAAGGGAAGGGGGTTTCTCACTCTCTCTCTCTCTTTCTCTCTCTCCCCCGGTCTCCTGGCCAACATTCCCCCAAATAAGATTCATGGCTTTTATCACCTCACGGCTGTTTGTGAGACGTTGCTGTGTGCATTTGGCTGCTGCGTTCTCCCGAAATACACAGAGGCTCAGGAGCTGAACTGACACGAGAGAGGTTGACAAGGGAGGGAGCGAGGCAAAAGGCCCGTGGGTTGAAGTTCCAGAGGGTGGGGGCAGAGAGGCTGAACATAAACCCGAGTGTTCGTGTGCACATCAAATGAGTGCAGTTAGACACCTGAGGCAAGTCATTGAAGAGAGATTATGTATGTGCTGGGTGGGAACCAGAGAAGCTGCTGGGATCTGCTGTTGCGTGAAGGTCACTGTTGTGGTAATTGGCTACACCAGGAGATGGTTCTTTTATGTTAATGGTAAAAGTTTTTGAGTTGGTTTATTTTACTAATTTTCTCCCAACCGGGCCTCTGTCCCCAGTCTGGCCTCTCCGCCTCTGGTCTCACACCCAAACACACAAACATGTACAAACACATATCGAGAAGATGTGAAAAACGCTATATCAAATGCAAATTTGTGAGCAAAATGCAGCAGCCGATTTCACACAGCGGCGTCCCACACACACACAGACACACACAAACACTCACACGTCCTCCTGACGTGAAAGGCACTATGTCATTTGTTCCTGTCAACGCGACAGCCCATTGCGCACAGCAGCGTCCCCACAAACAGCTGTGGGTTGACCAAATTATTATTTTTGAATTTTTTTGGAAGGGCTTTTTTTGAAGCGATCCACCAATCGATTGACAACCGTACTTACTGTTAGGTAAACAGAAGCGCGTGGAGTAAGGAAACTTGCCTAACGTTTCGCCCCCTGCCCGAGAATCGCACCCAGGTCCTCTCGCTTACTCTAACCACTGGCACTCTAGTGCTCTAACCACTAAGCTACAGGACGCCACGTGTATTATATTAAAACCTGGTGAACTGATTGCTGCAAAGAGAACGCCCATCATCACAAGGGCTAACATGATGTGCAGGTCATTTAGAAATCAACACCATCTCTGTCTAATCCCATTCCTTCTCTCTCCCCATCGTGTCTGTGCTGGTGCTCGCTCCCCCACTGGAGCGCTCCACTCTAACCCCATTCCCTGCTCTCTCTCTCTCTCTCTCCCCATCGTGTCTGTGCTGGGGCTCGCTCCCCCACTGGAGCTCTCTACTCTAACCCCGTTCCCTGTTCTCTCTCTCTCTCTCTCCCCATCGTGTCTGTGCTGGGGCTCGCTCCCCCACTGGAGCTCTCTACTCTAACCCCGTTCCCTGCTCTCTCTCTCTCTCTCTCCCATCGTGTCTGTGCTGGGGCTCGCTCCCCCACTGGAGCTCTCTACTCTAACCCCGTTCCTTGCTCTCTCTCTCTTCTCTCCCCATCGTGTCTGTGCTGGGGCTCGCTCCCCCACTGGAGTCTCTCCAACAACAACAAGAAGAGCTGCTCTGACGACCGCCTTTCTGCTTTCCTTTCAGCAAGCAGAGATTCAACTCCACTGTTTTGCCGACGGGCTTGGAGATCGAGACTGGGGGAGTGGGGGAGGGGTGGGGGCGGGTTTGGGTGCGAGGTTAGGCGAGCTGCCTGGAGACCGGAATAGAAACAGGAGGAAGTTTGGGCGAGCGAGTCATTTGCCAAGAGCATGAACTTTTACACCAACTGCACCCTGGACCACGGCATCCACCAGACCATTGTCCCCTATGTCTACATCTTTGTGTTTGTGGTTGGCCTCCCTACCAACCTCCTGTCCCTGTACTATAGCTTCCTTCAGATCAAGCAAAAGAACGAGCTGGGTATCTACCTGTGCAACCTGACCATCTCGGACCTTCTCTACCTGGCGTCCCTGCCCCTGTGGGTCCATTACATGCTCCAACATGACGACTGGGTTTTGGCTCCCATCCTGTGTAAGATCTGTGGTGTCCTCCTCTACGAGAACATCTACATCACCATCGGCTTCCTCTGCTGCATCTCCGTTAACCGTTTCCTGGCCGTGGTCTACCCGCTTCACTTCAAGTCCCTGCACACCATGAGAGGGGCAATGGCCGTCAGCCTCCTGATCTGGCTCAAGGAGATCGTGGTGTACTCTGTGTTCCTGCGCTCCCGAGCTCTCTCCAGGGACCATGACAATGACTCTCTCTGCTTCGAGCACTACCCCATGAGGTCCTTGGAAAAGAAAGTCAACGTCTACCGGCTTCTCATCGGCTTCCTCCTCCCCTTCTTCCTACTGTTCTTTTGCTACATCAAGGTCCTGCAGACGATCCAGAAAAGTCCCGGCATCCGAGGACCTTCCAAGATCAGGATCAAACGGCTGGTGTTCAGCACCATCGTCATTTTCCTGTGCTGTTTCGGTCCTTACCACGTCTTCCTGATGGCCCGAACCATCTTCGAGGTGGACTGCGAGTTTGCCAACGAGATATTCGACACCTACCACTTCGGGCTGATGTTGACCAGCCTCAACTGCGTGGCCGACCCCATCCTCTACTGCTTTGTGTCCGAGAGCACGCAGAACAGGCTCACCAGGCTCCTCACCCCCATCAGGAAGTTCTCTGCCTGCACCACCAGGAGGAACTCGCTGGAGCTTGTCGCACCCGTCACCCAGAAATTCGCCCTCATGACTTGAGGGTGGATGGGCGGGCAGGTGGGCGGACAGGGCGAAGGAGTTGTGGGCTGCACCTTCTGCCAGGTGAGGCCAGAGGCATAGGAGGTCATGAACGGGTGAGAAGTTAAACCAATTCCCCCTCCCACCATCGGTGGCCTGTTCAGGTGGGCTTCAGAGACCTCATGCGCAGTTCGAAAAGAAGAATGTTCCTCTCTCCTGGTGTCCTGGCTGAGAATTCCCCCTTCCCCACCGCACCCCCCCACCCCGCCCCAGAGCCCAATAAAATCACATCATTGAGTAAAATTGGCTGCTGTGTTCACCTACAAACACAGTCACTCCACTTCACAGCAAATCCTCAGATTGCCCCCAGGCGGAAGGGGGGAGGTGGGGGGAACCCAAATTTACCAGCGAGCAGGTCATGTCTAACAGCTTCTGTCTCTGTGATCTCCCCAGGAACGAATGATGAAGAATTCCCAAGAAAAAAACCCCACCAGTTTGATCTGAAGGTTATGTTGTTCAGGGAGGATGTGATGGTCTCTGAGCCAGTCAGAGTGGACGTCGCTGGCAACAGATCCACCCTGGGCTAGAGAGCGAAGAACTCGCAGCTTTGTTACACTCCGTATTTCGAACAGCAATTCACACAATCCTTGCATTCGAAACAACCCCTTTATCGCTTCTTCGAGACGTCTCAAAGCGCTTCACGGAATTTACTGTAAAGTGAATTGACTGTATATTTTGTGGACAAAACACAGCAGCCAATTCTGCACAGCAGCGTCCCCACAAACAGTCGTGGATTGAGTGACCAATTATTATTTTTTAAAAAGGGGTTATTACCTCCCTGGAAAAGTGATCTGCCTGTGTGTTTTACCCCCACTGTAGACCGGTCATAACAATTCCATTGAACCTTTTGTTTCCCTTATTTCTCAGCTGGGTGTCAGGTTCATTTCTGAACCTAATTCCACCTCCACGTCAGATCTCAAAATACTCGATTACTCAAAACTGCTGAACCTGTACAGACAAGATTTCCTGATTCCTTGACAGGTTTCCACACATCAAATCTTAACTAACTGGTCTGATTAACAAGGCAACCTCAAACAGTCGTGGATTGAGTAAAATTGAAATTTTTGGGGGGAAAACAATCCGCCAATTGACTTAAGAACCTTACAGCTAGGTAAGCAGAGGCGAGTGGAGCAAGGAAACTGACCTAACACTCCGCCCTGTCCAGGAATCTGTGAGGTAGAGACCTATAACACTGTGTTTCTCGCCCGCTGCTGTACTATGTCACAGCATTCACCTCATCAAACCCACACTCCACACTCCGGCCTTGCCACGTTCTTCTGACGCACTTCTTCTCAGGCTCTTAGGTATTCTGCCGAGAAAGAAGGGTTTGGTTCCTGGCAGCCTGACACACACACACATCGGCTCCACCGGTGGTCAGCCAACCGTTAGTTAGTTGGCTCCTTTCTCACCCTCGCTGGGGAACTTGTTGCAGAACCTAACCAGCCTTGTGGGAACCAGCTGTGCTCTGTGGGTTTCATTTCAGAAGAATGAGGAACAAAATGGGGTAGAGAAACCTGAGCTGACCCTCTCCTTTCCCCTCCTCCTCCTCCTCCTCCTCCCAACACAAGTGAGGCCAGAGAAATGCGAGGTCTTTTGGGCTCCAAACTGGTGGCTTGAGATGGCAGTTTCTTTAAAAAGCATTTCGTAGCAATCTCTAAAAAGATCAGATTTCGTAGCAATACTCCTCACGTTTGATAAGAGCATTCGAAATGTCCCAAGAGGCAGATCGGTTGTTAGTCAATTGGCGTATCGCTTTTCCAGGGTGATAATCCCTTCTAAATAAATTAATAATAATAATAATTTGGTCACTCAATCCACGACTGTTTGTGGTACACTGCTGTGCGCAATTGGCTGCTGCGTTTCGCCCACAAAATACACTGTCACTTCACTTTACAGTATATTCTATTTTGAGACGTCTCGAAAACATAAGGCGCTATATCAAATGCAGGATTATTATTAATGATACAATTTTATTTAGGGGATTGACCAGAGGGAGAGACACACACATCTACCTTATTGACAACTTAATGAATGGGAAAGGTGGGGGAGATTTACTGGTATTTGCCCCTCACTGACTACTCAACTGCTGACCCTTTTATAACATTAGCTTCTGACCTAATGAAACTGTTCCCAGTGGTGAAGAACGTACAGGACTTGCACAGCGACACCAGGATTGACCACACATCAACGGCGACGACGACAAACATGGCAGCCGATTGCACACATCAGTGTCCCAAAAAACACCGTGGATTGAGAGACCAAATTGTCGTTTTTGGAGGGATTATTAACCCCAGAAAAGCAATCCACTAACAACCCGGGTTCCGACTTGCTGCTGGGTAAACAAAGGTGTGTGGAGTAAGGAATCTTGGCCAACGTTTCGCCTGCCCGGGAATTGAGCTCAGGTCCTCTGGCTTGCGAGGCAAGTGCTCTAACCACTGAACTACAGGAACGAGCTGTGTCTTTGTTCGGCACTTTTCGCATCGGGAGAACGTCCCAAAGCATTAGAAGTATCGGGTAACTGAGCAGAGAAAGAGGCAGCACAAAGATTAGTCAGAGAAGGAGACGGAGAAGGAGAGATAGAGCTTCCGGTTTAACGTCTCGTCTGATAGGGGGGAAAAAGGAATGAGCAGAGAATTGTAACCCGTGGAATAAAAAACACCAACTCTCTCCCACCCCCTCTCCCTACATACTTACTCTAACTTACCTCATACATAGCAGCATATCACTCCCACGGCCTTTGAGAGTTGAGGATTAAATGCTTGAAAAAAAAAGGCAAAATAATGCAGATGCTGGAAATCTGACCAAAGGTTAACTCACGTTCCTCTCTCCGTAGACGCTGCCCCGACCCAAGGGTGAAATACAATGTGCCGATGTGTTTTTTGAGGGGGAATTTTTATCTGATTTCCCTGTAAACCTTTTATTGTTTGCACAGTATTAAGTCCGCATTTTTAAATAGTTTTTTTTTATTTTGCACACAAAATAAAGATGTTTTTGCTCTGAGTTTTGAAGCCTTGCTGACCCCTCTCTGACTTAACTCCACCTTAAACCCCCAGTCTACCCCCAGGTCAACACTCCCTCTGTTGCACAAGTTGTCACAGAGCCAGGGTCGCAATGCGCACGTTAAATAAATCACGTTTCACATTTCAAGTCCGTGAAACGTGATTTATTTCACGTTTCAAGTCCGAATAGGAAGTTAATCCTATCCTTTCGCTTTGACACAGCTCTTAAAGCACTTGCCAGGACTCGCTGCCAAGTGTAGTGACTGTATTTGTCGACAAACGTCCTGGGCCAACAGAAAAGTGCGGAAATATTTGCCCCAAATTCTGGGGAGATTTGCGAACTCTACCCGTTGTGGGGGTATGGTTGCGGAGTGTCTTTTGACGCATTTGGCAGAAAATTGCGGGGGGTTGATTGGTGCTATTGAGATACAATTTTGCCGCCAATCTACATTTTTTTCACTGATAAAAAAACCTAAGGAAATAGCACATATGAGGTTGTTGCAAAAAATGACTTGTTTAACATAAACTGGGTAGTCCCTTTTTTTGGGGGGGGGGGGTGGGCGGTGGTGGGACACCAGCGAAGCTATAGGAACTAACCACGTCCTGCCTCTCAGGGCTGGTACTGCACACAGACCCAGAGAGAGCGAGAGAGAGAGTCAGTCACAATCATTTGCTCTCTTGCTCTGCCCAGTGACGTCAGGTACAGGTACCCAGCGAGTGGCCCGCGGGCCAGAATCATTTGTAGCGGAGGTTTGTGGAGGGTGTTCACAGAGGAATCCGCAGCTGGACTTTTCTGCTGACCCACTCAATGTCTCTGCTTTTCCCAGGGCAGAGGGTGAAACGTTGGGTAAGTTTCCTCACTCCACACGCCCCTGTTTACCCAGCGGTGAGTAGGAACCCGGTTGTTAGTTGATTTGCGGATCGCTTTTCCGGGGGTGACAATTCCTTCAAAAATGGATTGAATTATAATAATAATTTTGTCACTTCAATCCACGGCTGTTTGTGGGGACGCTGCTGCGCGCAATTAATCGGCTGCCGCGTTTCGCCCACAAAAGACAGTCACTACACTTTACAGTGTATCCTGTGAAGCGCTTTGAGACGTCTTGAAGACATGATAAGGCGCTGTATGAAATGCGAGGATTATGTCATGATCCCCTACATTTGTGGGGTTATTAATAGAGTCTAGGACCCCCACCCCATCCATCCCCCACCTGTGGCGTTTGAGTCTGGGGACTATTTAAGGTTTTGCAGATGGTGACTAGAGGCAGGACTTGTGGGAGGGAACGCTTTGTGACCGGGTTGAAGTAAAGTGAGCACCATATAATTATGTTAAAAAAAACTAGATGAAAGATTACGCTAACAGAGCTAACTGACAAGAACCTTTCTATGAGAAACGTTAACTGAGACATTGAGACAGCCATTTTGCGCACGGCCAGGTCCCAAAAACAACCATAAAATGAATGAGTGATTTGACACCAAAAATTCAGGGGGGAGAAACTCCTCTTTTCTAATAACGTCACCAGATCGTTTAACACCTGGCTGAACTGTCACAGACGGGACCTTGGTTTAAGATATTAACAGCTTGCATTTGATATAGCCTTTCTGATTGTCACTGAGATGCCTCAAAGCGCTTCACAGGATTTTATTCTAAAGTGCTGTGACTGTGTAATTTGCAGGCAGCCAGTTATGCACTGTGACATCCCACAAACAGCCGTGAAGTGAATGAGTGATTTTATTTGGAGGAGATAAATGCAAGTTGTGGTTGTTGTTGCACTCAACACGGAACAGAGCTGAGAATAGGTGGAACTGAGCAAGGAGCGTCGTCTGAGTTTGTCAGTAGGATACACTTCCAGTTAGTGTAAGCAATGAGTTGTTGTTTTTGGCTCAGAGTGTTCATAGAATCCTATCACAAAAAGGAGGTTATTCGGCCCATCGTGTCTGTGCCGACTCTTTGAAAAGAGCTATCCAAATCAATCCCCCACTCCCGCTCTGTCCCCATAGCCCTGATCAACCCCGCGCTCTCCCCATAGCCGTGCAAACTTGTCCTCCCCAAATAATTATCTGCTCTCTTAAAAGTTGTTATCGAATCGGCTTCCACCAGCCGTTCAGGCAACTCGCTGCGTGAAAACATTTCTCCTCACCTCCCCTCTGTTTCTTTTAACAACTATTTCTTAATCGGTGTCCTCGGGGGGACAACCCACCCACCGGTGGAATTAAAGTTCACCATCAGCCATAAAGTGGAATTAGTGGTGAAATAGTGTACAGTGAGCATAGAGCGCCATCTCCTGACGGCTGTTGCGAATAATAATAATAATCACTGCATTTGATATAGCGCTTTTCACGTCTTCTCAACGTCTCAAAGCGCTTCACAGAATAGACTGTAAAGTGAATTGATCGTATATTTGTGGGCAAATGTGACAGTGTTAGTGAGAGTATTGAGAGTATTGGTGTGTGTGTGTGTGTGAGATGGTGAACATGTGTTCGTGTTTGTGAGTTTTAATGAGCGTGAGTCTAAGTGAGTGTTTTGAATTTGGATGTGAGTGTTTGAATGTCGGTGAGTGATTGAGTGTAAAGAGTGTAGATATGCCCTGGTCTAGGCAGGAAGTCACAGGTACAGATACACTTGTGCCATTAACAGATGGAAAGAAGAATCTGGCCTTTTTATAGCACATCAAAAGTCTTGCTGCTCTTCACAGCTAATAAGCTATTAACAAGTGCAGTGTTAGCGAGATCTCACTAATAGCTGTGAGGTGAGTGATGGGGTGGGATTGTTGGCCAGGACACTGGGAGAGAAACTCCCTTCTGTTATCGAGTAGCGCTGCGGGATAGTTAACGTCCGTCTAATTAAATGTTATTACATTTTGGTTTCAAACTTCCTTCACGTCCTGCTGTGTGAGGTGTGAGGGTGATTGTGAGCAGCTGTCTAATCAAAGATGAGTGAACATCGTGGAACGGCAAACCATCCACCTCCATTCCCAGATTCCCAGTCACTCCGCTCCGGATTCCGTGTTTGACCAGGATCTGTAGTAGTTTGTCTTCCTGAGGACAGAGTACGAGAGGCTAGAATCATCATCCTTACACTCTGTACAGCGCTAAATAATAATCATAATAATTATTTGTCCAGAAATTCCCTGTAAACTCTCATGGTGACAATCCTGAGCTCTCATCCCTTTGTTACTAATCAGCAGGAATCATCTTTCACTGAACGGGCTCATCAACTTGGAAGAGCAGACCAATCACTGGGGGCAGCTCCTGTTAACCCTGCAAGCCAATGCCCTAATGGGTAGGGTGGTCCTATCTGGACAAGCAATGGGAAAGCTACTCAGACAGCGATATCAATGGGTTTAGCTATTCAGTTTAGCAGGTTAGACTCCGGCAGTTACCCCTTCCCATGATTGTGGAGTCCTATAGCTCAGTGGTTAGAGCACTCACTTTGCAAGCGAGAGACCTGAGTTCAATTCCAGGCAGAGGGCGAAACCTCGGGCAAGTTTCCTTACTCCACACAGAGCCTAATAATAATCCCTCCAAAACCAAAAACAATAATAAATTGGTCATTTTCAATCTACGACTGTTTGTGGGACATTGCTGTGCGCAATTGGCTGCCGCGTTCGCCCACAAATATACAGTCAATTCACTTTACAGTGTGTTCTGTGAAGCGCTTTGGGATGTCCTCCCGACGTGAAAAGCGCTATATCAAATGCAAGGATTATTATTATTATCCCTTGGTTCTCCCCAAGCCTTGGATCTTGCCAACATGCGCCTAATACTCTCCGGAATTAGATAAGTAGGGTGGGTCCCTTCAGGGAGAGAGAGTGAGAGCGAGAGCGCGCATTCCATTCCAACAATCTGTCTCTGGGGTTTCCATGTGTAGGTGGGACGTGTGTAATTCTCAGCTTGGTTTGGACTTTTAAGCACGGTGACGGATTTCCGCGTGTTTCAGAAACACGCTGTCAAAAACAACAACAACTCGCATTTATGTAGACCCCACCCTCACGCATGGTAAAGTCTCTGAGTGTTTGACAGTAGCGGAACCTGACGACAAGCCAGGTGGTTGGGGTTGGAGGGGCGGTGAACGTAAGCACATAATAAGAACCTAATTAGTCTCCTCAAAGCCTTTCAAAAGTGAAACGGTGATTCCAGTGAGAACACCTGACGTACCTTGTTGACCGAGGGCAGGGCTGAGGTCCAGGCGTTTCTCTCGCTCCCGTTAGGAAAGCCGATGGCTCTGCGCAAGTACCGGGCGTGGACGCTGCAGCAATTGAGGAGGTACAGAGCGCAGGCCAGGGCGTAGCCCCCCCAGTTTGACACACCTACAGAAAATGGTTGGTTCAAGGTTAGGCCCCTTGCGGGCAGTTTCTCGCTTATTCGAGCTCCAAAAGAAAGCAACAGTGAAGCCAGGACAAAAGCCTGGAACGGTCTCGTCCCATCCCAAAGGCAGGTGTTTCCGGCATCACAACCCTCCCACCCCCCCACACCCCCCTCCCCCCCACCGCAACCAGACCAATAAACAAAATAATAATGAGACATCTCAAAATGCCTCATAGGATATACTGTAAAATGCAACGACTGTGTATTTTGTGGGCGAAACGTGGCAGCCAATTTGCTCATAGCTGTGTCCCGCAAACAGTCGTGGAGCAAGTGACCAATTTTATTTGGGGGATTGTTGGCCAGGACACCGAGAGAGAGAGAGAAATTCCTTTCTCTATTCGAGTTGCGGGATCTTTAACGTCCACCTGAACAGGCAGACGGGACCCCGGTTTAACATCTCGTCTGAAGGACGGCAACTCCGACAATGCAACTCCCACCCCCAGTGCAGTGTCAGCTTAGACTAGTGATCCCAAGGCCTGATCTGGGGGCTTGAACCCACAACCTTTTGACTCAGAGGCGAGAGTGCTCCCGCTGCACCAGACTGACAAACGGGGAGGGTGTGGGGCGCACAATAAACTCACCCGCAATGATAGCAAAGTCCGCCTCGACATCGCAGGCTATCAAGTCTCCATTGGTGATGTATTTTTTCACAGCCTCCTTCACCTTTCCCATTCCCAATTCGTTGCCTCCATCCCCAATACCTGAAGAGCACAACCAAGTCAAACCAAGTTAATGCCATGAGGTAAGGACAGCGATATTGAACACATAGTACGGATTTGTGGAAAATTCCTGTAGGCATTCACCTACAAAACACACAGTCGCTACCCTTTACAGTGGATTCTTTGAAGTGCTCTGAGACGTCCTCCCGATGAAAAAGGCGGAGGATCCCATTCCCGATGTTGGGATATGAGGATTGCTGGGAACAAGTTCTTGAAAAGAAAGAGGCGTCACTTTCAATGCCCTCCACCCTCTTGCTCCTTCCTACCGCTAACTCCATACCAACCCGTCCTCTCCCTCCGCTCAGCGGACTCCGGCCTGCTCCATGTCCCCCACCCTTCCCACTCCACCATCAGCGGTCGGGCCTTCAGCCTCTCTGCCCCCACCCTTTGGAACTCCATCCCACAGTCCCTCCGTCTTGCTCACTCCCTCGCCTCCTTCAAGGCTCGACTCAAGATCCCCCTCTTCGGCCACCCTTCTACCCCCGCCGTCCCTGCCCTCCACACCCTCCTGATCCCAATCCTCAGCTCGGATGCAAATCCTTGACTGTCCAGCACCTTGGGACGTCCTCCTCATGTGGAAAGGCAACGTGTTAACTGCAATGTGTTGTTATTGAGACTGAATTAGAGAATTTTCCAAAACTCTGCGAGACCTTAAATCCAATTGTTCTCAGGCTTAAGAACGGGTGGAATTCTGTGGCCTCACCCCTCGGAGGGCTCCCCCCCATCTCACCGGTCGTGCTGATTCCCGGCACCTCCCTCGCCGCCAGGAACAGTTTGTCGATCGGATCCACCAAGTGTTTAATATTGACTTTCCTGGCGTTGTAATAATTGCCGTCCATCGCCATTCCAGAACGTTCTATCGCTATCAGGTGGTCGTACCTGTCCAGATTCAGAAAATGATACAAATATCATCATAGAAGTTTCCGGAAAGAGAAATCCTTGGGCCTTTAATAATAATAATAATAATAAAAATCCTTGCATTTGATACAGCGCCTTATCACGTCTTCGAGACGTCTCAAAGCGCTTCACAGGATACGCCGTAAAGTGAATCGACTGTGTGTTTTGTGGGCGAAACATGGAAGACAATTGCGCACAGCAGCGTCTCCCAGACAACTGTGAAATTTAGTGACCAATTGTTTTTGGGAGGGGAAGGATTATTACACCCGGAAAGCAATCCACCAACCGACTAAAAAACAGGTTTCTACTTACTGCAAGGTAAACAGAGGAGGCTGGAGTAAGGAAACTCGCCTAAGGTTTTGCCCCACCCCGGAAATGAACCCAGGTCCTCTCGCGTGCGAGGCAAGCACTCTAACCACTGAGCTGCAGGCCTCCTATTCCCTTAGAGGGGTGGAGGAGAGGGGAATAGGAAGGGTGGAGGCTTGAGTAGAGTATAAAAACAAGTTGGCCCCGTGGCTTGTTTCTGTGCTGTATTGGTCTATGTCAATTCCAACCAGCCGGTCCCAGTTATAATTAACTCAGGTCAGATCTGGGATGGAACCTGGGACCTTGCCGGTCTGAATTACCGCACCTCCTACACCCCTATAGTTTCCCTCTCCTACACACCTATAGTTTCCCTCCTACGCTCTGTTCCCCTCTCCTACACCCCTCTCATTCCCCTCTCCTACACCCCCCGATTCCCCTCTCCTACACCCCTCGATTCCCCTCTCCTACACCCCTCGATTCCCCTCTCCTACACTCCTCTCTTCCCCTCCCCTGCACCCCTCGATTCCCCTCTCCTGCACCGCTCTATTCCCCTCTCCTGGACCCCTCTATTCCCCTCTCCTGCAGCCCTCTGTTCTCTTCTCCTACACCCCTCTGTTCTCCTCTCCTACACCTCTCTATTCCCCTCTCCTACACCCCTCGATTCCCCTCTCCTACACCCCTCGATTTTCCTCTCCCTCATGCCTGCATCAAGTTTCCTCTTGAACACATTGATATTTTCTGCTTTGACCACAGCTGCCAGCAGTGAGGTCCCACGCTCACGCCCTCAGCGTGAGGACGTTCCTTCCTGAAGGTTCCAGGGTCCATCCCGGACCTGAACATCCCACCGAGGCAGTGAGGAGGCCAGACACTCCGGCTGGTTTTGCCGTGACCCCCGCACGCTCGCCTACCTCGGGGAGTTGGCTCTCCCATCGTGACACAGGAAGCTCAGAGCCGAGTCAACGCCGGTATCCTGGAAACTGAGAAGTGGCACGGCAGCTTCCAACACCCCTGGGATGGGGAGGAAAAGGTCGAGGTAAGGACTTGTTAGTAATAATTATCATCATAATAATCCTTGCGTTTGGTATAGCGCCAATCACCTCAACGGGACGTCTCAAAGCGCTTCACAGGATCTACTGTGAAATGGAGTGACTGTAATCTTGTGGGCGAAACGCGGCAGCCAATTGCGCACAGCAGTGTCCCACAAACAGCCATGGAGTGAGTGACTACATTTTATTTGGGGGATTGCTGGCCAGGACTCAAGGAGAGAAACTCCCTTCTATCTTCGAATAGTGCCACTATTTAACGTTCATTAACGTCCACCTTTAACGTCCACTATTTAACGTTCTTTAACGTCCACCTGCACAGGCAGATGGGGCCTCGGTTTAACTTCTCGTCCATAGCTTGTGCTATTCTATACCAATGCGACCCCTTCCCCACCCCCCCCAGCTTAAATTATGTGATTCCAAATACTGACATGGGGCTCGAACCCACTACCTTGTGACTCAGAAGAGAGAGTGCTACCACTATGCCAGACTGACACGTCTTTCAGAAAAGGCTCGATACTGTAATGGATGGCTGGTGTGTTCGGTTGGGTTTCTCGGAGGATGAGATCCAATGGGCCGAAGAGCTTTCTTCGCCTGAACCCTCCTCACAAACTCAGCGAGCAAGACAAGGAAGTCTCATCTGAGGTGTATTCCCCCAATCTGACTGCCCCCAAGTCAAAGTGCGAGGCCTACACAAGGGGTGAATAATGGAGAGAAACTCTTGACTCAAAACCCATGGTGTTGTCCTGGACTGAGTGTGCCAAGGGCCTCGGTGAACGAGAGGAGCTTTATAGCTGATGGCCACCTTGCTCAACGGCTTCTTCGATGATCTTTCTGTACAACTCCAGGGCTCTCTGGTCCGTTACTATGGCGACGTCTTTCTTCAGGGCCTGCAACATCGTTGCCATGGCAAGGGCTCCTGGAGGACCATCCGTCTCCTCCGGAGGCTGATGCCTGAAGTGAGTTGGGAACCCGGTGGTGAGCAGCACTGAGTTAGCGTGGGAGAGAGAGAGTGCGGCCTTCAGTAACTGGTCCTTCATCGTGAGGTGTCTGATACCTCGGTTACCTGAGGGCAAACAATAATAACAACAAACAAATTACATTTGCACAGCGGCCATTCACGTCAGGAGGACTTCCCAAGATGCTGGACAGTGAGGGATCAGGAGGGGTGGAGGGCAGGGAGGATGGGGGTAGGATGAAGGCACGGTCGAAGAGGAGGGTCTTGACACGAGTCTTGAAGGAAGCAAAGGAGGGGGTGAGGCAAAGGGACTGTGGGATAGGGTGCCAGAGGGTGGGGGCAGAGATGCTGATGGGCTGCCCGCCAATAATAATAATAATCCTTGCATTTGATATAACACTTTAGCACATGCGAGATGTCTGAAAGTCTGAAAGTTCAAGACTGAGATAGATAGATTTCTTATTGCAAAAGGGATTAAGGGATATGGGGATAAGGCAGCGTCAGGTTATTAGCTGGAGTTAGATTAGAAGATCAGCCATGATTGAATGACGGGGCAGGCTCCAAGGGCCTACTCCTGCTCCTACATGTTATGTTATGTTAAGTTCTTCACAGGATAAACTGTAAAGTAAATTGATTCTGTTTTGTGGGTGAAACCCAGCATTGAGTGACCAATTATCATTATTTTTTGGAAAGGATTATTTGTAATTGGCAGGCAAAGAGACTTGTCTAGGGCTACCCCAGAGGCTCTGATCTTGCCTGCAACTTCCTTTATCATTTAGTTGTTGGGATCATTTACCCCCTCCACCACCCCCACACACACCCTCCCACTTACCTGGGTCTTGCTGTATCAGAGCCTCCAGCTCTCTGATCACATCCAGTGTGGAGGCTGAGGCAATGCTGTAGTGGGCAGGAGTCTGACAAACCCTCACAACCTGTGGGGTGTCCGCGGGGCAGGCTGGGGTCTCGGCCTCCTCCTCACTCCTCACATCAGTGACAAACATGCAGCCGGGGGCGTGGGTGAAGGCCAGCGGAGACCCTGGAAGCAGAGCAATTAAAGAGGGAGACATTATAAATTTCCCAGACATTTAATAATAATGCTTGCATTTGATATAGCGCCTTATCACATTGTCCAAACGTCTCAAAGCGTTTCACAGGAAGAAATATTGTAAAGTGAAGTAACTGTGTATTTTGTGGGCGGAATGCGTCAGCCAATTGCACACAGCAGCGTCCCACGAATAGTCGTGGATTGAGTGTCCGTATTAATTTTTTTTTATCCATGTTTTATTTTTGGGGGGGGGAGGGATTATTACTGGAAATAATCCACCAATCGACTAACAACTGGGTTCCTATTTACTGCTGGTAAACTGAGCCGTCTGGAGTAAGGAAACCTGCCCAACGTTTCGCCCCCTGCACGGGAATCGTACCCGGGTCCTCTCTCTTGCGAGGTGAAGGCACTAACCATGTTTCGTGGACTACTTTCAGCAATTTTACACAGAGAGTTCAATGTTAATCTCAGGCAGGGTCCCACAGCGCAGCTCCATGCCAACACTAGACCCATCTACTAACCCCCACCCCCACTGGCGTAGGGGACGTCTCACCGCAGCTCTGAACGGCTTCCATTCCCGTCACTCCACAGGCCCAGAACACGGGTATGTCACCGGGATGTGCTTCAACCGCGTCCCCGAAATCCGGGCTGGACAAATCTTCAATTCCAATCAGTCCTGAGGGCCACAAAAATAAATGTTGTTTTAGTCTCCCTCGAGTGTAGTGACTGGGTAACCCCAGCACCTCCCTACCGCTCCGACCTGCTTACTCCCCATGCCAACACCATTCCCCCTCCGCTTGGCTCCTCCGGCCTCCTTCTTGCCCCTCGTCCCTTCCGTTTCACTATCACCAGTCGTGCTTTCAGTCACTCTCTCCTCTCAATCTCTCCACCTTGCCCCTGCTTCCCCTGGCATTTATACAGCGTCCTCCACTCGGGGAAGCGTCCTGGAGTACTTGACCATGGCGAAGACTGACGCTGAGCCAGGGGGAGAGTGTGTGTGGGGGGGGGGGAGGCGACCGTAAGCACGATTACAAAGGAAGGTCTTTAGGCGAGATCACGCCAGAAGATCTTCCTCTTTGACCGTGGGGAGAACCCGGCAGACAGTTTGCGCACAGCAACGTCCCCGCAAATAGCCATAAAATGAACGAGCAATTATCATCTGGGGACTTGTTGCCAAGGACCCCAGGAGAGAGAGAGAGAGAAAAACTCCCTTCTCTTTTCTGATAGGGCCTCAGGATCTTTAACGTTCACCTGAACAGAGCACAGACGGGGACCTCGGTTTAACGTGTGCCTGAAGGACGTCCATAAGGAATTGTTGTCATGTACCTGGATGTCCGATGTGGACAGGAGCCCCGTGGACATCCTGCATGAGGTGGGTAACCCTGACAACTGTGTCCAACTTCTCCTCAGGGATGGGCCTCATGGTGACCACCATGTTACACCGAAAGCTTCCGACCCCCTGGCACGGCACTGATGTCTGGGGAGTAGGGAGGGGGGGTGAGAAAGGGAAAAGGTTGTTTATTAGCTAAGTTTCTGTTTACTTAGTAGTAAGTAGGAACCCGCTTGTTTGTCGATTGGTGAATCAAATTTCCGGGGGTAATAATCCCTCCAAAAAAAATTGTCACTCAATCTACGACTGTTTGTGGAACACAGCTGTGCACAATTGCTTGCTGCGTTCGCCCACAGAGTACACAGTCAATCTACTTTACAATATATTCTGTGAAGTGCTTTGAGACGTCTCAATGACATGATGAGCCGCTCTATCAATAATAATCTACTAACAATCCCTGCATTTGATATAGCGCCTTATCAGGTTTTGTAGACGTCCCAAAGCGCTTCACAGAATACACTGTAAAGTGAATTAACTGTATGTTTTGTGGGCAAAACGCAAAATGGGTGCAATCAAATGCAAGGATTAATTAATAACAATATTGTAATACTAATACTAATAGAGTGTCGTCTTAGACAGTGAGCTCAAAGTCCCTGACATGAGGCTTGAACCCACAACCTTCTGACTCAGACTGGAGAGTGTGAGTGACTGCGTCAGGCTGACAGGGGTGTGTTTGAATGTGACCACACTACCTTATACATGCTGACGTTCCGGCCTTGTTCATGATTGCGGACCGGGACACCGGCCTTCAGCAGTATGCTCTCGAACGAGAAGCTGCAGCCCGTGTAAAAGGTGACCATGTCCCTCATCTGCTCCGTGTACTCCCGCAGACTGGTCATAGTGCCTGTCAAACGCCCGTCTTCATATCTCCTGTATGCCAGGCAGTCAGTCCTGCAAAGGGCAGAAGAAAGCCCCCATTTGTGTAGCTCCTGCCCACCCTGAAACATCTCAAAGCACTTGTAATAAATAATTATAATCAATAAATTATGATCAGCAATTTATAATCAGTACAACAAATTATAACAATTTACAATCAATATTTTTTAAATCAACACAGTAATAAACAATTATAATTAATTAATTCTAATAAATTATCTATACAATGAGTCAACATACAATCGTAGAATTATACTGCACAGAATCAGGCCATTCGGCCCATCGTGTCTGCGCCGGCTCTTTGAAAAGATCCAAACCAATGAGTCATCCTGTAGTGTAGTGGTTAGAGTACTCGCCTCACAAACAAGAGGACCCCGGTTCGATTCCCAGGCAGGCTCGCAATGTTAGGCAAGTTTCGTTACTCCACACGCCTCTGTTTACCTAGCAATAAGTAGGAACCCGCTTGTTTGTCGACTGATGAATCGATTTTCCAGAGGTAACCCCTCAAAAAACCGGAGGGATTTTTTGATTTGCATTGATCCAAGTCAATCCCACTCCCCCGCGCTCTCCCCATAGCCCTGCAAACTTGTCCTCCCCAAATAATTATCTGCTTCTCTCTTAAAAGCTTCCACCATCCTTTTAGGCAATGCATTCCAGATCCCAACAACTCGCTTGTGTGAAAATCTTTCTCCTCACTTCCCCTCTGGTTCTTTTAATAACTGTTTTAACTCGGTGCCCTCGGGTTACCGACCCACCCGCCAGTGGGAATAGTTTCTACCTGTTCACCCTATCGAATCCCCTCATAATTTTGAAAACTTGTATAAAGTCTCCTCTCAACCTTCTCAGCTCCAAGGAGAATAATCCCAGCTTCTCTAGCCTCTCCTGATTCCTTATACCACCCTGGTAAATGTCCTTTGTACCTTCTCCAATGCCTTGACATCATTCCTAAAGTGTGGGGCCTAGAACTGAACAGTCTCTCGCTGAGGTGTAACCAGTGTTTTATACAAAGGTTCATCATAACTTCCTGACTGTTGAATTCTATGTCCCTAGTTATAAAGCGTAGGATCTCATATGCTTTTTTAACAGCTTTATTTACCTGTCCAGCCACCTTCAAAGATTTACTTATATGATCCCCCAGGTCTCTCTGTTCCTTCACCCCCTTTAAGATTGTACCATCAGCTTATATCGCCTCTCCTCGTTCTTCCTCCCAAAATGCATTATTTCGTATTTCTCCACATTAAACTTCATCTGCCACGTGTCTGCCCATTTTCCCGGTCTGTCTATGTCCTCTTGAAGTCTGCTGCTATCCTCCTCACTGTTTCCTAGCTTAGTGTCATCTGCAAACTTGGAAATTGTCCTCCCTTATACCCAAGTCCAGGTCATTTATCAAAAACAGCAAAAACACCAATACTGGGGAACACCACTGCACACTTCCCTCCAGTCAGAGAAACGACCGTGCAATTAAAAACAATTAATTCTAATAAATAAATTAGAAGAATATTCCTTGCATTTGATGCAGCGCTTTATCACGTGGTTGAGACATCTCAAAGCTTCAGCGGATTTACTGTAAAGTGCTGTGATGTGTGTTTTGTAGGTGTATTTTTGCACGGCGACATCCCCATAAACAGCCATGAAGTGTTGTTTTGGTGTGGTCAGCGGCTGTCTGACCAACGTGAAAATCCATCAACAGCAACAAAATGACATTTATAGAGGCGCCTTTCATGTTGGGAGGACGTCCCAAAGTGCTGAACAGTCAGGTGTCGGGGCCCGAGCATGGGGGAGGGGATTGGTGTAGAGGTGAGGGAAAACAGAGAGGTGGGAGGGAGACCAAAGGCACGGTCGAAGAGAAGGATTTTGAGACCGGCCTTGAAGGAGGCAAGGGAGGAAGCGAGGCGAAGCGACCTTGTGATGGAGTACCAGAGTGTGGGGGTAGAGAGGCTGAAAGCTCGGCCACCGATGGTAGGGAGGGTCGGGCGGGAGACAAGGAGCAGCCCGGAGCCTGATGAACGGAGGGAGCGGGCGGGTTGGTAGGGATCACTGTGCTTTTGAGTATCCAGAACCAAAAGTAACTATTCTTTATTCTTTAAGCTGGTGAAGGGGGTTAATAATTAAATATAAGCACAACAACTTATCACCTTTGCAATTAAAGAGCGAACCTTGCTCCACAGTCCTTGGATGGCCAGTTTAAACTGTGCGGTTTTAGCTGGTTAGACTCCACCAGTTACACCCAACTCCCAATCTGGGGTTCCCCAAGCCTTGGCTCTCACCAATCTGCGCCTAATACTTTCTGGAATTCGGTAAGCGGGAGGCGTCCCTCGAGGAAGAGAGTCTGTATTCCATTCCAACAATCCAGCTCTACAATTTCCATGTGTAGGTGGGATGCATGGAATTTTCAGTTGGGTTTGGAGACTCTTAAGCAACGGTGATGGGTTTCCACATGTGTCGGACGGCTGGCCAAAAACAAAATGCATGTGATTGTTATTGTGACTGTCATGTTGACCTGAAAGAACCTCTCAAAGTCATCAGCCAAGCTCTCCAGGACCCTACCCCACGTGAAGGGCGGTGTATAAATAATAATGAAGTCCTGTAGCTCAGTGGTTAGAGCACTCGCCTCGCAAGCGACCTGGGTTCGATTCCTGGGCAGGGCAAAATGTTGGGCAAGTTTCCTTGCTTCACACGTCTCTGTTTACCTAGCAGTAAGTAGAAACCCGGTTGTTAGGCGATTGGTGGATTGCTTTTCGGGGGTAATAATCTCTTCAAAAAACAATAATAATCTGGACACTCAATTAACAGCTGCTTGTGGGACACTGCTGTGCACAATTGGCTGCCGTGTTTCACACGCAAACTATACAGTTAATTCACTTTGCAATATATTCTGTGAAGCACTTTGAGATGTCTCGCTGATGTGATAAGGCGTGCCTTCAGCTCCCCTCTCGACTCTCTACCCCCTCCCTTCCCTCCCCTCACTCTGACCATTTCCCCCCCTGCTCGGGTCCCGACCCAACTGTCCAGCGCCTTGGGACGTCCTCCCAACGTGAAAGGCGCTCTATAAATAGAATCTTGTTGTTGTTGTGTCAAATGCAAGGATTATTATTATACAAATGTAAGTTGTTTTTACTGTACCTTATGTCGGAGGCGTGGCTGAGCAGGGGGGAGCCCCACTCCCCGAGTTTGCTCCTGTACAGCAGGGGGAGGGGGCCACTATTGGCCTGACAGAACCTCTCAAAGTCGTCAGCCAAGTCTCTGTGCACGATCACGATGTTCGCCTGCTTGTAACCTGTTCAGAGCAAAACGCACAGTGGTCAGGCATCGCTGAGAGAGAGCATCAGGTCCAGCTCTGGTCACCGCAACACAAGGGGGCTGGTGTGTCCGAGACACTGTGCTGTCTGCTGTGCTCTACTGTGTCCTGTGATGTGTGCTGTGTACTGTATTGTGCGGTGTCTGCTCTATACTGTGTGCTGTATAGTAGACCGTTCCTTCAGCCACTGCGCCCCAAAATTCTGTAGCTCTCTCCCGCAATCCCTCCGCCTTGCCCCCTCCCTCACCACCTTCAAATCGCATCTAAAGACAATCCGTTTTGATGGTGCTTACGCTCTCCCCTCCCACCGGCTCGGGGTCAGACTCCGCCACTGTCGAGCGACTCCGAGACGCTACCCTGTGTGACGCAATATAAATACGATATAAATTATGACGAGAGGACGTCCCAAGGCGCTGAACAGTCAGGGATTAGGACCCGGGAATGGGGGGAGGTGGTGGTGGGGGTTAGGATCAAGGAGGGTGGAGGGCGAAGAGGGGAAGGAGGGTGGCCGAAAGCACGGCCGAACAGGAGGGTCTTGAGGTGTGCCTTGAAGGAGGCAAGGGAGGGAGGGAGGGAGGCGAAGGGAATGTGGGACAGAGTTCCAGAGGGTGGGGGGAGAGAGGCTGAAGGTCCGACTGCCGATGGTGGGGTGGGCCGGATGGGGGTCATGGAGCGGGCCGGAGCCTGCTGAGCGGAGGAAGCGGACAGGTTGATTAGGGGTTAGCAGGTCGGAGAGCTAGGAGGGGGCAAGCCCGTGGAGGTGAGGACGAGAATTTTGAACGCGATCCTCTGAGGGACGGGGAGCCAGTGGAGCTGGGCGAGGGTGGGTGTGATGGGTTGTTGTTGTTGTATGCAGAAAGCCATCATCGTGCTTAAGAGTATCCAAACCAAACTAAAAATTCCATGCAACACACCTACAATCGAACCCACAGTCCCTTCACCTCTACCCCTCCCTTACCTCCTTCAAGGTCCGTCCCAAGACCCTCCTCTTCGACCACGCATTCAGCCACCTTCCTACTCCCGCTCCACCCCCCCACACCCCCCCGATCCCAACCCCCTGCTTGGGTCCGGAACCCTGACCGTCCAGTGCCTTGGGATGTCCTCCCAATGTGTAAATGTAATTTATTGTTGTTGTTGCGGTGTGCTGTAGGCTCTGTGCTTTATGCTGTGTATTGAACAGTGCTGTGTAGTGTATGCAGTGTGCTGTAGGCTCTGTGCTGTGTACTGTAGTTCTGTGTTGTATACTTTTCTGCTAGTCCGGTGCTGTGTATTGCATGTGGTGTGCTGTTTACTGTACTCTGTATTGTATACTGACTTCTGAGCTGTGTGTATACTGTACTGGGTGTGATGTGTGATGTGTGTGTATTGTGTCTGTGTGTGTATATTGCGTGCGTGTGTGTGTGCTGTGTGTGTACACTGCTGTGTATGTATGCTGTGTGTGTGTGCACTGTGTGTGTGTGTATACTGTGCTGGGTGTATACTGTGCTGCGTGTGTGTGCCGTGTGTATACTGTGTGTGTTGTGTGTGCATGTGTTGTGACTGTGCTGTGTGTGCTGTGTACACTGTGCTGTGTGTGTACGCTGTGTATGTATACACTGTTGCGTGTATACTGTATGTGTGTGGGTGTGCTGTGTACACTGTGCTGTGTGTGTACTCTGTATGTACACTGTGCTATGTGTATACTGTGTGTAAGCTGTGTATACTGTGCTACGTGTGCACCGTGCTGTGCATGTGCACCGTGCTGTGTGCACGTGCACCGTGCTGTGCGCAGTGAGTGCCGTGCTGCGCATGGTGGGTGCGCTTAGCACGCTGTTCTGTGTGTATGCTGTGTGTGTGAGTGTGTACGCTGTGCGTGTGTGTGTACGCTGTGCGTGTGAGTGTGTACGCTGTGCGTGTGTGAACGCTGTGTGTATGTACGCTGTGCGTGTGTATATGTTGCGTGAGTGTGTACGCTGTACATGTGTGTGTATGCGGTGTGTGTGTACAGTGTGTGTGTGTATGCGGTGTGTGTGTGTGTGTGTATACGGTGTGTACAGTGTGTCTGTACACTGTGCTGCTTCTCACCCTGTGCCACGGAGGAGGTGTTGGTCGCGAGCAGTCTCCGTGCCCGGATTAAAGCTCTGACGGCGGCCGGCAGCAGCATGGCTGCCCCCAGGGACTGGGGAGAGAGAGAGAGAGAGAGAGCGAGAGAAAAGAAATCAAACTGAGCAAAGGAAATCCTTATCAATCAACCTCCCTGGGCTCCCACTGTCACCGTTGTTGGCAGCATAGTCGGCTTCAAACTCAAAAGATCTCTTTCTTTCTCTTTTGCATCAAAGATTTCCGATTGACTTTCACATCCTGATCCTCACTGGCTGCTCCCTCCAGGCCTGAGCTGTGCTGTTGGGAGGCAGCCACATCTGTTCGCTGAAAATAACATTTGATCCGGATGCCGCAAACTGTTTGTGCACATCGCGGCCGTGACGTTTTGGTGTCTGACCAACGTGCCAACCCCATCACTGTGCCTTTGAGTATCCAGAAACAAAACGGGTCTCTTCGTGAGTAACTATTCTTTATTCTTTAAGCTGGTGAAGGGGGTTAATAATTAAATGTAAGCACAGCAAACTTATCACCTTTGTAATTAAAGAGCGAACCTTGCTCCACAGTCCGATACCTATTAGCAAACAGCAGCTTGTGATGGCCAGTTTATACTGTGCGGTTTTAACTGGTTAGACTCCAGCAGTTACTCCCAACACGCACTCGGGGGTCCCCGAAGCCTTTGGCTCTCGCCAACCTGTGCCTAATACTTTCTGGAATTCGGTAAGCGGGAGGCGTCCCTCGAGGAAGAGAGTCTGTATTGCATTCCAACAATCCTGCTCTACAATTTCCACGTGCAGGTGGGATGCATGGAATTTTCAGTTGGGGTTGGAGACTCTTAAGCAGCGGTGATGGGTTTCCACATGTGTCAGACACCCCGGCTGGTTGTTATTGTGACTGTTGTTGTTGGCCTGACAGAAGCTCTCAAAGTCGAGCCAAGTGCACCAGGAAGATACCCCGCGTGAAGGGCGATATATAAATAATAATGAAGTCCTATAGCTCAGTGGTCAGAGCACTCGCCTCGCAAGAGAGACCTCCAAGCCAGGGGGAAGGGGAGGTGGCAATAAGCATGGTCGAACAGGAAAGTTTTTATGCGGAGTGCGGGACGAACGGGAGGCCGGTGCCAGTCGAGCGGAGGCGGTGGGTGGTGGATCGGGGAGTGAGGAGGTCAGAGCTGTAGAGAGGAAGAAAGCGTGGAAGAAAGCGTCCTGGTCAGAGATGGGATGTGGGGGAGGAAGGACAGTTGGGGGTCGAACTGGACGCCAAGGTTGCGCAGTGGTTCGGTGAGTCTGAGGGAGAGCCCAGTTGAGGAATTTACATCCACAGGAGTGAAGACATTGACGGGAGCCAAGGAGGCTTCAATCTTGTCCATATTCAGTTGCAGGAAGTTTACACTCATCCAGTCCTTGATGTCTGTCAGACAAGCTGATAGAACATCGGCGGACCTGGCGTTGGTACTGGAGGAGGCAAAGTAGATTTGTGTGTCATCCGCAAACAGGTCGAAGTTTACCCATGTCTGAGGATGACATCGCCCAGAGGGAGCATACAGATAAGGAAAAGAAAAGGGCCAAGGATGGAGCCCTGGGGTACCCCGCAGGTGATCAGGCGAGGGAGGGAGGAGAAACCATTTGCTGCGATGAAAAGTTGGTTAGGTAGGACTCGAACCATGCGAGTGCGGTCCCACTCAGGTAGATGAGGGAGGAGGTGGAGGAGGAAGGCATGGTCAACTGTGTCGAACGCGGCAGAGAGATCCAGGAGGACGAGGAGGCAGAGATCTGGTCACAGATAGAATGTCATTTGTGACATTGACAAGTGCTGTCTCTGTGCTGTGGGCAGTCGGGGTGAAAACCAGACTGCAGGGGCTCGAGGAGGGAGTGGAGGGAGAAGTGTGACCGCAGTTGACCCGCAACAATGCGTTCCAGGACTTTGGCAAGGAAGGGTAGGTTGGAGATGGGACGGTAGTGTGAGAGATGAGAGGGATCGAGGGTGGGTTCTTTGAGCAGTGGTGTGATGATAGCGGTTTTCAGGGGAAGTGGAACAGAGTCTGAGGAGAGAGACTGATTGACCGTGTCGGCCAGCAGGGGAGAGAGACGGGGGAGTTGAGCGACCAGCAGCCGGGTGGGGAGGGGATCAAGTTAAGAGGTGGTGAACTTCATCCGGGTGATTGTGGTTGAGAGGGAGAAGGAAGAAATGGGGGCAAAGGAGTGTAAGGAGGGGGTAGTGGCAGGAGCTGTGGTGGAGGGAGAAGGCTGTGTGGATGGTCTGGGTGGGGTGGAAAGGACATGGGAGGGAGGACGATGCAGCCAAGCGGATGTTTTCAATCTTTGAGGCAAAGAAGTCTAGGACCCCTTCGCACTTGGCATTTAACGTGAGGATCGAGGGGACTTGAGGGGGTGCACGGAGGAGGTGATGGATGGTGGAAAAGTGTCTTTGGATTGTTTTTGGCCTCCAGGATGACTTTGGAGTAAAAGTCAGTTGTGGTCTGTGAAAGGGAGAGGCAGTGGGCGTGGAGGTGCTCGAGCCACAGATGGTGATGAATCATGAGGCCGGATTTCAGCCATCTGCGCTCCGGGTTTGTGTTTTGAGTGAGCGGAGATGACTGTTGTACCGGGGGAGCGGGTGGGTTTGGAAGCAACCCTGGATTTCAGGGGAGCCAGGGAATTGAGGGTTGTAGAGAGACATTAGCTGATGGCTGCATTAGGATCGCTGCGGGTGGAGGGGCAGAGGGAGAGAAGGTCCAAGAAGAGAGGCCAGCGATTTGACACACAAGGCGCTGTGTGTGTATGTGTGTGTGTGAGTGTGTGGGCGCAGGCTCTCCTACAACATACCTCAGCCGCGGAAACCATCCGTTCATTGTCCATAACAGAGTGCTTCAGCCCCCAAACCTATCTCCGTTCACAGAAGAATGTCTAACCAAGTCGGGACGGTCTTCAAATCAGACTTTAGCCAGAGTGGTTCAAATCGGACTTTAACCAGAGTGGTTTAAAGCTATTGGCTCAGGTTCAGCAACCTGTATAATCCTTGTAAACATCACCAGCTTCTCCGCTGTCAGTTTACTAATTGTAGGATGTTTGTACGAGTCTGTGCTAATGGGGTGGGAGGCAGGGGCTGGAGGAAGCTTTCTACGCTGAGTGAGCGGATTCCAGCCAGGACTATAATCAGTCTCAGTTCCACTGGGCTAGAAAGAGGGAAATCAGACCGAGTTTGCCACTCCTGATAATAGAATAATAATAACAATTCTTGCATTTGATAGAGCACTTTATCACGTCAGAAGGACGTTTCAAAGCGCTCCACAGGATTCACTGAGAAGTGGAGTGACTATATTTTATGTGCGAAACACGACAGCCAGTTTGTGCACAGCAAAGTCCCACAAACAGCGATGAAGTGAGAGTGATTTTATTTGGGGGGATTGTTGGCGAAATAAAAAATAATTCTTGCAGTTGACAGAGCGCCTGTTCTACTGGGAGGACATCTCAAACTTTTTAATACGATTTTTACTATGAAGAGCAGTACCTGTGCATTTTGTACCAAACTCCGTGACCCCATCTCCCCCACTCTCGCCCGACTCCACTGGCTCCCTGTCTTCAGAGGATCCAGTTCAAGATCCTGGTCCTCACATACAAAGCCCTTCATGGCTTCGCCCCTCCCTACCTCTGCGACCTCCTAACCCCCTACCGACCCGCCCGTTCCCTCCGCTCAGCCGGCTCTGGACTGCTCTGTCCGCTGACCCACCCGCCCCGCCATTGGCGGGAGAGCCTTCAGCCACTCTGCCCCCAACCTCCGGAATTCCATCCCCCAGTCATTCTGCCTCACCCCCTCCTCAGCCTCCTTCAAGTCCCACCTCAAGACCCTCCTTCAAGTCCCACCTTTGACCATGCCACCGGCCACCTCCCCTCCCTGCCCCCCCCCAACCCCAGCTTGGTTCTGAAAAGCTGCACTCTGTCCAGCGCCTTGGGACGTACTCCCGGCGTGAAAGGCGCTATACAACGTAATCCTGTCGCTATCGATGTTATTTGCGGCAGCCAATTTGCGCACAGCAAAGTGTCCTAGAGATAAAGGTTCTGAGAAAGTGGGTAAGAAATTGCTCAGCAGTTTTCTGCGTACTCCTGAGTGGCAAGCTGCTACGTCTGCCGTGTGGTTTGCGACTGCTTGAACCACAGACACATCATCACACCTCTGAGGTCGGACCTGAGTCAGGGCGGCTATGAGATGGCAGCAATCTAACTTGTTTCCTGTGGCGATCTACATGCTAACCCAGTGACAGATGGTCTCAGAGAGGCGAAGGGAAAGACATTCATCCAGGACTCCCGACACCTGATTGCAGAGAGGCAAAGCCCCCACCGCCACCACAATATCATCCGCCAAAAGCACACACATCCTGCTGGAACGCAGAATAGTAATAATAATAGTAATAACCCATTTAAAAAAGCGCCTTATCACATCATTGAGACGTCATTCAAAGCGTTTCACAGAATATACTGGAAAGTGAATTGACTGTGTATTTTGTGGGCAATACCAATTGCGCACAGCAGAGTCCCACCAAACATCATGGATTGAGGCATTATTACCCCTGGAATAGCGGACTTCCAATCGACTAACAACAACAGCAGCTTGGATTTATATAGCGCCCTCCACGCCGGACGGCGTCTCAGAGCGCTTCACAGTAACGGATCCCGGGGTTGAGCCGGGGGGGGGGGGAGGGGGAAGAAGGTGACCAAAGGCGCGGTCGAAAAGAAAGGTCTGCAGCCGAGACCTGAAAATAGGAAGAGAGGGGGTGAGGCGAAGGGAGCGAGGACGTTCCAGAGCCTCGGGGCGTAGTGGAACCCCGTCCGGGAATCGAACCCGGGTCCTCTCGCTTGCGAGCTGAAGGCGCTACCCCCACTACGCCGAGGGAACTGAGTGTGCCCCAATGCGCACGCGCGTGGAGGTTTGCCGGAGGGCGCCATCGGGGTTGCCCCATGGGCTGCCGCACTTCGCCGTGGCCGACGACACCCGCTGTCCAGCCGCGCCAAAACCCCCCCCCCAAAAAAAACACCGACGGCCGCACCGGGAGAAGTGACCAATAAAACCCTGCGCTTGACGCAACGCCTCGGGACGCGTCCCAAAGCGCTTCGCGGGAGTTAGCGTACGCTGGAGTAACTGGGCGTGCGCCGTGAGGGAGCGCAGCCAACAACAACAACAACGACGACGACGACAACAAGATTCCTTCCCTGTTGTTGTACGATGTGCGCACAGCGGCACCGCCACACGCGGCCATGGAGCGGGCGAGCGATTTTATCCGGCGAACACGCGTGTGCCGAACACGCGTGTGCCGTCTCTCGCTCGCTCGCTCTCTTCCTCTTCCTCCTCCTCCTCCTTCTGTCCACCACCGCCGCCGCCGGCACCGCCACATTTATAAATAATAATAAACAATAATAATAAATAATAATACTTGCAGTTTGATATCAACAGGTGATCCCCACAGGGACTGCTGCCAAGTGTAGTGACTGTGTATTGATGATGATGGGGGGAGGGGGAATGGGGGGGAACCCTCAGCCAGTTTTTTGCCCACGAAAACCCAACGAAGTGAACACCTGATTCGTATTTACATCTATCTGAGGGGGGGGTGGGGGCAGTTATGGAGGTGGTGGTGGGGGTGGTGGGGGGGTTCGTTGGAAGAAAGGTGCTGCCCCTTTAAGAGCTGCTTCCCGCGCCCACCCGGGCGTCCATCGACGATCGATTGATAGCGCCTGTCTTCCCGCCGCTCCCGCGCCCCCCAGAGCCCCAACCGCCGCGCAACCCAACTCGCTGGGCGGAAGGGGCGGGCGATTGGCACCGGCGGGCAGCCAATAGCCGCTGCTCGCGTAACCCTGGCAACGCGTCGGCGACCAATGGGCTGCGAGAGCGGGCCAGCGCGAGCCCCCGCCCCCCCCGCCGCCGCCGCCCGGGTGAAGGTAGGTTGGCGGGGAGGCGTAGTAAGTGGCCGTTATTGAGGAGGCGAAGGGGCTGCGCTCTTGAGGAGAGAGAGAGAGAGAGAAAAAAATATTATTGTTGTTATTACTGCGGCTCCCGCGGGGCGTCGAAACCCGTGTTGCCGTTTTGTTTGAAATAAAGTCACATCAAGACTCTCCCCTCACGCCGCCCCCACCCTCTCCCTCCCCTCGGGAAGGGGTGACTGGACTGTGAAGTTATCGCTATGGAAGAAGAAGGCTCCGGCGGCGGCGGCGGCGACGGTGACGTGTTTACGGTGGAGCACGAGCTGAGGAACGGTAAGGGCATTGCCCCCCGACCCCCCAGACCCACCCCCCACCCCATGCAAAAAAAAAACCGACCCCCGATGCTCCCCCCCCCCCCCCCCGCCCGCAGGCACCGCAACTCGTGCAACGCGCAGCTTCGTCGGGATCTATCGCATTTTTTTTTAAACTGAAAGGCATAAATAAGAAAAGAAATCGCCCGTCAATACAGTCACTACACTCGGCAGCCAACCCCCCCCCCCCCCCCTTTGGGATGGTCAGCCCACTCCCCCCCCCCCCCCGCAAAAAAAAAATTGCATTGTGCGTTATCTGTGCTTTCGAAAGGAATGCAAAAAGCAATTGCATTTTAATTTATTAAATTGCATTTAAATTTATAATATATGTGTATATATATATATATATAACGCAAGTTCCATCCAAGCCCGTGCAGGTGTTGTCCCCCCCCTCACCACCCCCTTAAAAATCGCATTGAAAGGAATGCAAAAGCAATCTTGATTTAATTTTTTTTTAAAAATTGCCCTAATTTTAAATAATAAAACAGCGCCACATCCCAGAGCTAATCAGTTCATCCAATGCAACGTGTAGTTTTTTTTTGTTGGGGTTTGGGGTTGGGGGACAGGAACAGAAATGTACTGTAAATTTCTTTTTTATTTAAAAAAAACAAACGTAGTTGGAGGGAGGCGCGAGAGTGCCAGACAAACTATGCAGATATGCATCTAGTTATATTGCATTTTTATTTTTTAAATGTGAAGATTGCAACTGTAGTCTGACGTTTGCTTAAAAAAAAATGTGCATTTCCTCTTTTTATCTAATTTTAAGCTACTGACTGTTAAAACTCCCTTTTCTGCGCTTGCCATTGACCTAGAAGACGAATGCGGGCCAAGTTATCTTGTCATTCGTTTGACCAGCTAAAGGTTGCACTTTGAATCCCGAAAGGTACCTGCGAGGAATCGGCGTTAAAATCAATTATTTTCTGTGCATCAGAATGTTACACTTTCCCACTTGTTCATTTTTGGAAGTTTGCTTTCCTCTGTTAACCACCCCTTACAAGCCTTTGCAGTGACAATATTACACTTAGACAGGAATCTGCGTTGCATAATTAATAATGAGTTGTATTAAGTTGTAAGTGGACGTTGCATGTCATGGATTTTCGCTAACTGTTCCATTCCGGGGGTGGGAGAGGAAGTAAACCAAGTTTATTTTTAGTGTTGATATGTGCTAATAATAATAATAGTGCTAGCATGATAATCTTTTACCTCTTGACAGAGAAATTTGCAACTGTATTGCCTGCATACGACCTCTGTAGAAACCTACCTTTCTTTCGTCTGGTAATTTTGAGAGTGAGTGTGAAGAAGAGAGTATGGTTTTACTTTGTTAGGTGAGAGTCTTGGCATCTAACTGTGATTGAAACAAAACTCCTGATACAAGAGATAAATGTCGCTTAAAACAGCAACTTACATTGGTAGCGCCCTTTATACAGGATAATGTCTCAGAGCACTTCAGAAACTGGGTGGGACGCCGAGCAAGGCGGGAAGATGTCCATAGGCATGGTTGAAGAGGTAGGATTTTAGACAGGATTTAAAGACAGGTAGAAACTTGGCAGAGCGATAGGATAGGAGAGTGAGTTCCAAGGGTGGGGATACCCTTGCTGAAGTAGACTTGCAACTATTAAGTTGGCAAGTCTGGTTGACAGAATTTATTCATTCACTAGTCATCAGTCGTGTCCTGCATCCCCCTCCAATGTGCTATAATTAAGCCCCATTTCAGAATATTTATTCTGCTTGTACTGCAATAGACTTGCGAAGCTGTAAAATAAGTGGGAGGAGATGAGAGGTTCACATAACATACAGGAAGGTACAGTGGTGGGAGCAGTTGACTCCTCCAGTTTTCTGGTGTATAGATTCGACAAGGCACGTCTACTAGCAACTTCGTGTTTGTTACTGCATTAAACTACTGAGATTTTAATAAATCAACGCCTCAGCTGGCAATATATTGACTCTTATGAAAATAAGCATAATTTATGCAGCTTTTCAGAGAGGGTTTCCAATGTTTCCTTTGATCTGATGAGTAGCTTTTGGGAGATCAAGTGGCACAGTGGATTAGTGCACTGTCCTTTCATCTCCACAACCCCGGTCTTTAATCTAAATCAAGGAGCTCAAAGTCTCCTATCTGGCTATAAGAATAAGTGAAATGTATTTGGGGAATTTCGATTAAGCTTCCAGTGGGAATGAATCCATGTCACATAGCTGCTTGTATGATGTGCCACTAAATTGGTCATCGCGCTCTTGAGCAAGTAATATAAGGAAGGCTGGTATGGAAAACTCAAATGTCACTATGCAGCACTTGTACTTTCGGAGAGTGAGGCTGAACCATGTAATTGGGAGCAGATGAGAAAGAGTGTATCAAGTTTTTTCAGTACCAGATCAGGAGTGTGTGATGCTAACACCGTGTGCTGAGGAGGTGTGTACATTATGTGTGTCTTCTTAGGTTTCTTCTAATCAGGGCAGAGCCCATGGATGAGAAGAGATGCACCCTTCTTACCTAATCCAGAAAGTGTTAAGCAGAGGTTGGCAAGAACCAAGAAAGATGTTCAAGGTGGTCACTTGACATCCAGTAAACACAGGGTTGAGCCTAAGAAGCCTAAGTACTAAGAAGTCGCTACAAACCCTTTGCTGAGTTGCGCAACTCTGCATGAAATACATGAGAACATTACCACTATCCTCATGCCCACAGCTTGGACACACACCCTATCCCTTTGAGTGATGAGGCCATTAGAGTACGGATCTTGAAAAGCAGCTGCTGACCTCTGCAATACACTCAAAGTGGTTGTCACGCCCTGGATATATGAATTTGTATTCACAAACCTGCGAACCAGATAACACTTTCCAGAAGCTGTTGTCTCAAGCCTCATAGTTCCTCGACAGTTATTTGACAGAAATCTGCCTTCAATGTGGAGAAACAGCTTGTGAAATGCCAGCCACCTTGATGTTCTAGAGGTCCAAGTCAGATGCCACAGTACCAAAGTCACTCAATAACTCCTACTATTTTGAAGGAATTGGCAAATAGATGTACTTTCTATGAAGCTGTCTCCAAATGCTGAGCAACAGGTCAGTGTAAACCAGAGCCCTCCAGCCACACTCCAGCAATCCGGAATGGGAACCCTGGCTGTTTTTTGCTTTTCCTCTTTCTCCCGTCCTATCCCGGTCCCCGTTTCCCCCCCCCCCCCCCCCCCCCCCCCCCCAATGCCCAAGAAGCCAAAGCCAATTGTAGCAACTTTCTTGCTGCCCCGGTTAAGATCACCCAAATGTGCACACCCCATTGATTGAACCTCAAGGCTTCTGGCATCTGTGTTGCTCAGTTGCACTAAGAGTAACTATGAAAAAGGTTTTTAAAAAATGCATCTTAATCTTTTTAATCTTTGAATATACGGTAATTATGATTGAGGAAGTCCTGGTAAAGAAATAATAATCTTTGCAGTTGATCTAGCACCTTGTCACACCTTATCACAGTATACAGAATATACTGTAAAGTGTAGTGACTTTTTGTGGGTGAAACGCGGCAGCCAATTTTATACAGCATTGTACCACAGACAGTCGTGGAGCGAGTAACCAAATTATTATTATTATTAGGTTAAATTAAGATGAAAATTGGTGAACTTTTTCGTCTCTTGCTGCTTTTTTTTCAAATGGAAATTCCATGTTATTGCTCGTATTTTACTTGATACTGTATTTGGCTCTGATTGTTTGATTGGGGAGCAGTTACGCCAGTGCGATTGCTGTGCCTGTTCACTAGTGTGCTCGAATGCTGCATCGTGGATGCTTATCCTGTTACATCTACCGAGTAAATAACTAATTGTCACTTGTGGTAGGCAGCAGTTTATGAAACTATGCTGTTGACAGACACTTGCACAGTTGTTTAAATATAGCCTATGCCTCACTTCTGTATTATTATATGGAGGTGAGCTCGGAAAACACAGGGTCTGATGTAATTTCCTTAATAAGAATTTTTCCTTTTGGAAGCTGTTAAATACTTACAAGGCACTGATTTTATTATCAACCATTGTAACTTTTTATTGAGCAATACATGTATGAATGCAGTTCTTTCTCCTGTTCTTTTACACCCCCTCCTCTGTCTCTTTCCACCCCCTACCAATTGGTGAAGGTAATGGGGGTGTCTGGGTTGTGGAGTTCTTCATGTATTTAAGGCAGTGGATCTACTGACCCTTTTAATTGTTTTTTTTGCTGTATCCTGTGGTTAGAGCAGAGCACTCGGCTTGCAAGCAAGAGGAACTGGGTTTGAATCCCCGGGCAAGTTTCCTTATTCTATATGCCTCCGTTTACCTAGCAGTAAGTAGGAGTCCAGTTGTTAGTCGATTGGCAAGGCGCTTTTCCGCCTTTTTAACAAAAAAAGTTTGGCTATCGCATTTTGCCCACTGCAAAGTCAATTCACTTTGCAGTATATTCTGTAAAGCGATTTGAGATGACTTGAAGACGAGATGAGGCGCTATATCAGATGCAAGGATTATTATTATATTTATTATATTCCCTTTTTCTATAGTATCCTTCATTAATTTGGGTGGGATGTTGGAGTATGTGGATGTCTTCAGTACTCAATCCTGGTTGATCCACCAGAGAGGGGCTCTGGAATGTCGAATAACATTTTTATTTTACAAGCCCATGTTAAATGGAAAATGGTTTTCCTTCCAACCTTGCATTTTACCTGGAGTGATCATCGTGAGCTGGACTGTCAATGGTGAGGGAGCAGTTTGATGAGTTGAGCAGCACACAAGGAGAATCTTACTTCCATGGGATGTTACAAATGAGCTAAATATACCTTTGAGATGAAAGCTGAAAAAACAAGCAGTTTTGCTCTGTTGTTTTGTTTTTCCTTTCCCATAAACATCCCGCCCATGACTGGTGGAATTTAGGCTCTGGGAAAGATGTCATTTTAAAATTAGAGCTAAGCTAGTTAGTCAAATCAGAAAACTCTTCACGTAGAAAAAATATGTAAACATT